AAAAAAAGTATGAGGGAAAACTAAGGTGGACAATTAAAACAACTTACTTTGAACTGATGCAACACTTCGCTCAAGGATAGCTTTTCATACATATTTCTACTCACATAGCATTTGACAGCTGTTGACTTGGTATTAGTCTCTGTCTTGTAGTGACTATATATATATAAATATACCTCTACAGACCACATCAAAGTTATGTTGAGAACCCCAGAATTCGAGTGGGAAAACGTTTTTCAACTGTGTCTTTATAAACAATATCACCTTTTGGGATTATAAAATAAATGAGTTCATTATATAAAGTCAAGTATATTGTATATTACCTTGCCATGAGGAAGCACCATATCCATAACGTCTCCACCAAACTCCTAACAAGAGCGAGTAAGGGCAATTTGGACATATATTCAAAATAAGAGAACTTACTTTTCTAGGAAATATAATGTTAAACAGATGACAAGGTTTATTCCTACGATGTCTTTTATATATGCTGGTAGCAATTCGATGAATAGATTGATATTTTTGTAAAAATCGCCTCTGTTTGATGGTTTTAGTATAACCTCCAACGTGATTCCTTTCACTCTTTGCATACTTGCCTTTCTGTTTTTAGTGGAAAACTCTTCTGGAAAGATATGCTTGAGAAAGTCCACGATTTTCTCTTTCAGTCCTCTGTCTAGGATACTGTTAGACCATGTAATAACAATGCAATATTTACCATTATCAGAAGACTGTGCCATCATTTCCCCATCGATGTCCTTTATCTCAGACAATATATAGCGAATAGACCTACGGTTGATGAATAATTCATCTGGAATGGGCTGCTTTGTTGTATGCTTCTCTTCTTCTTTTTGCTCTGCTACTTTCAACTTTTTCTTTTGTCGTCTTGATAATTTAGGACGTTTGAACGGATGGGCAATCATCTCGTCTTTGGGTTCTTCTCTTTTTCTCTTGAATATGTTTTTCTTTATCTTGGGTTTAGGCAATCGGCTTATAGGGTATCCTTATGTATGAATCATATAAGATTACATCATCATTTGAACGGATGATATTGTACCTGAAATTTGGAAATATCCGCCACCGGAGAGTCTAGTGATGACTATATGATCCAAAATAAGCTCGCCAAATGCTCTAGGACCAACCCTTTGATAAGGAACATATTAGACAAGATTCTTTTGTATTTAAATATATCTTTACTGTTCAAACAGTTGTGCCCATGCTTTGTTCGTTTTGAATTCATTCATGGCCGTGTTTGTGCATTCTCCTGTGAGACTCTTCTTTTTGATCAGTAAAACACGTTTCAAGCTCCCTCATTAGATTACTTACCAGCGAACGAGACACAAAGAGGACGTGTAGAAAGTTTTGTTGTCTCGCTGCAAAATATTGAAGCTCGTCAAGAAACTAAACACAAAAACGTTGTCCTCTGTCAGGAATTGAAAATGATATATTATGTGGTGTTTTTACTTTGTTCAATTCAAGTACTATAGTTTTATTGTAATGACGATCTTTTTGCCACATTGTCGAATAGCATTTTCTATCATGAGGAGTAATGATCACAATGCGTTTTGCTAATGTCAAAAGTTCGTGGTTGTTTCTCAAGTCAAGTGCATCACCAAAGTACTCTTTCAAGTTCTGTACGCGTTCAAATGATGAATAGAAATATTTTGGAAGTTTGCGCATAAGAAAGAAGGAAACTATGAAATATCAGAGACTGTTTGTGCGCGTGTGCGCGCGCTTTCTGTTGTTCAAAATGTCCGACACGTCCTTTCATTCTACATGCGAACCTTTTTGTGAGCTTTGCTCGTTAGATAGACGCGAAGGGTGTGGCCATGTGCCTTTGGTTGCGCTTTTATTCTCAGAGATAGTAGAGAGGAAGACGATCAAATCAGGCCGTGCTGACAGAGTTTTTGGAGCAGTAAAAAAGCTTTTGCAAAAGTATATACATTCAACAAACTAAGTATCAGTGTCGTTACTAGTTGGCCATGGCTTATTCATTGACAAATCTAGGCGTAGAAACAGCATGGGTAAAATGCAGAAAGCGCGAGAATTGATGAAAGGTATACGTCATATTTAATACACTGGATAATCAGTACAAGGATAATGATAAAGTAGAGAGAAATGTTGTCCAAAACTATATGGTCAGATGTCTGCTTGGAATGACATACGATACTATGACTATCAAAATGAACTAAAGTCTCCACAAAACTGTATATGAATCAAGAGAAATCAACTTTACGCTAGAAAAGACGTGCCCCCTTCATTACTCGTTGAAAACCAATTTGAACCAATCACCTCTTTCAATCTGAGTAAAAAAATTTTTGAAGGAGCGAACATTGTATTTGAAAGAAAGCCCAGTGTTGCTGTAGAAAACTTTTTCTTTTTCTTTTTTATTTGATCGCGTATTTTATATATAAAATGAGTGAAACTGACAAGACAACAGTTAATCAAGAAATCAACAAGGTCATTGATAACAACAACCATGATGCTGTTAACAACAATAACACTGGAGATATTTCTGAAGTCGACAAGGTAAATCAAATTATAAACATTTAAAAAAATTATTGACGACGGATTAGGAACTGGAGGCTATGAAACAACGTGTTAAGGAAATGGAAAATGAGGCAGCTAAACTTCGTGACATGCAAGCCGAAGTTGAAAAGTCAATGCATCCTGAAGAAGGTGAGTCTAGGAAAAGATGTTGCTGTCAAAAAAAGGAAAAATAATATGAATATATATTCTCCAAAAAGATAAAGAAGCAGTTGACAGTCGTTCAATTTATGTTGGCAATGTAAAAAAAAAAAAAAAAAGAAAAAAGAGAGAGAGAGAGAGAAAAAAGGAGAATATCCTTTTATATGGATAAATATACTGATGAGATAATCATCCATAGGTTGATTACGGTGCTTCACCTGAAGAATTACAGGCTCACTTTCAATCTTGTGGTACTATAAATAGAGTTACTATTCTTTGTGATAAATTTACTGGACATCCTAAAGGGTAAGAAAGAAAGAAAGAATAAAGAGAAAGACTGATTTGCATTTTTATTTACATAGATATGCATACGTGGAATTTGCTGAACCAAGTTTTGTTAATGCAGCTGTTGCCTTGGACAATAGTTTATTCAGAGCTCGCTTATTAAAAGTGAGTCCAAAGCGTACGAATGTTCCTGGTTTCTCTGCGCGTGGTCGAGGCAGAGGTCGTGGTGGAGCTTTCAGAGGAGGCTATATGCCATACTATGGTCATTCACCAGTGTATGGTTATCGTGGACGAGGGTAAGTCATAATGAATGCAATAACATTGACTCTTATACTTTAATAGTCGCGGTAGAGGCGGATATTATGCACCCTATTAAAGTCGATGTTCTTTTTATTTTTTGCTTTTCATTAAAGTAACATTAAAGTAACTATTTTTAGTGTAAAATGGGCATCCATTTTTACTTTGATCAAGTCCGACCTCACTTTCTTAAATTTTTCTGTCCGCATTAATTTTTTTTTTTTTGTCTTTACTCTCCCACACACACACATACACACACATATAAATATATTTATTATATACGCATTTGTTCCACTCCTTTTTTTTTTGGTCTCTCGATGGATATAAATAATAAACAACAACAAACTCCTGAAAAAGAAATGAGCTCAAAGCGAAACAGTATGTCAGCCTATGTTCCTCTTCATAGACGTACAGCAGATAACAATCAAGAGCGTTGGTCATCATCAGAACCAGCAGTAGATGACATGGGTTCAAGAAGAAATAGTACAAGCAAGTATAGGTCTAGTGATGTAGTAGTCGAAGCTAGTCTCTCTTCCAAGCGATCTTCTATGCAATCTCGTCGTCCAAGTAGCAACCGGTTTAGTCGCAATAGCTTTTTGACAGATGATGACTTGGATTATGTTGGTAGTCGAATCTCCCATTCTTGTAACAATTATTGACCATGCTAGTTTAGGATAAAAAAGACTATTCTGAATATGATAATGAATGTCCTCAAGAAGACTGGGAGAATATCTTGAGACAATATGATAGATATGGGTCCTTTGACGATGACAAAGCAAATGCAAGAAAAAGCAAGAGAGCCAGTCGTCTTTTGGATTCTTACCTTGACACTACAGGTATATGTCTTCTTTATTTTTGTTTCCTAGGCTCACATTTCCTAGTTCAAGTTCCTCCAGTCGATGAACCAACCACCATATTGGATTGTTATGATTTTCCTCCAGCATTCAAAACTCATCATTTACATGACATATTTAGGAACTATGAATCCATGCGCGGGGGGTACAAGATTAAGTGGTTATCCGATACTCGTGCATTGATCATCTTTGAGCATCCAGCTACAGGTAAGGACATTAAAGGGTGAAAGAGGACTCAACACTGAACGTGTATATAGCTAAAAAGGCCTATATTGATAATGTAACACATGCACTTGCAAAAATTCGTCCCTATGATGGTCCTACCGATTTCTTAAAAGGTAAATCCTTGTTATGTAACAAACGTACGTTAACCTTGTCAATAGAGCGTAATGGAAGCAATAGGGCAATGTCAATTGATTTAAAGAGACAATCTCTGAGCAGCAATTTAAGCACTGGGCGAACCAACAGAAATTCTATGAGAGGTGACTTTGTTTGAAAACTGCTTATGAATCTATATATTAACTAATTATTTTTAAGCAGAAGAATAAAATTACGCTCCCCCTTCCTTTCCGTTCCTTTTTTTTTAACATATACATTTATAATAAACATATCCCCTCTTTTTTTAAATCAGACATATTGCCTTTTAGCCTATAACTTATGAAATTATCAAAAATAAAGCATCCAAACGATGCTTATCTCTCGTATTACCGTTTATCATGTTGAATAAATAATTTCCTCATGATTGTTGATCTTTATTTACGCCTTTTATTATTGTCAATGTCTTGTTTAGATCAACATCAGCATTTTCCGTATTTAAAACTGACTTTGATTTACACATGTTTAATCCGCACATGGAAAAGAAATCGAAATAGATCTTTTTGGAAAAAAAAAAAAACATTGGCTTCAGACGATCCGACGGTTCTTAATTCAACTCCGAACTTAGGCCTAAAAAAAATTACATCCAGGGTCAGAATGATGTAAGTGTTATGAAAGGTTAAAAGACAAGGATAGAAGTAATGTGACTGTAATAAATGTCGTTTTATATATACTTGATGGCTTTATTTCTAAAAAGAGTTCCTTTAATACATTAATAAACAGTGGGAGTGTATAGAATACAGAATTTAGCAGCTCTCCTATAATAGTTCATGATCAGTGTTAGCAACCCTCTCTTTTCCTTTTCATTCTCTATGATTGTTTTTTACCTTCAAGTAAGCAACAACATCGGCACGATCCTTTTCCTTCTTGAAACCAGCAAAGGCCATCTTGGTACCAGGGATGTACTTCTTGGGGTTAACAAGGTACTATTGTCATTGATCGTTAGATAATCTGTTTGTTCAATTATAATACAAAACTTACGTCGTTAAGGGTTTGTTCATCCCAAGTAACACCCTTATCGATGTTGGCTTGAGTGTAAGAGTAGCCAGCGGCTTGACCAGACTTACGGCCAAAGAGACCGTGAAGGTTAGGACCGACCTTGTGAGGTCCACCTTCTTCAACGGTGTGACATTGAGCACAACGAGTCTTGAAGAGCTTAGCACCAGCAGAAGCGTCACCAGCCATTTTTAATAATAGAGTGGGGGGTTAAAGAGATAAAAGAAGAAGAAGAATTAATCTGACAAAAATTATTTCAATTTAAATCTTTACAAGCCCCCCTTCCGTTTCGCTGTCCCATATCACACGTTTCAGGCACCGCTCCTGATCGGATATTTTCGGCTGCCCTAGGATGTGGTCTTGGACAAAGGCTTTGACTCAAATTGTTTGTTATTTTAAATACTATAATCATCCATAGAAAGGGGACTTGTAATGAAATGTTGCCTAATAAATTTATACATATTCGTAGACCCTTGTCAGGATTACAGTTATCGGATCCCAAGATTGGGGAACACACAGTATGAAGAGCACTGGTCAATGACTATAGGACAAGTTTTAAACAATGTTTGAGTCTACACTTTTTTTTGTTTCTCTCTCTCTATTGGAATATTCTTGCTACGCAAGTTTGTTACACTCCCTCATCACTTCATCAAACATATCATCATCGTCACTCTGTTCTTTTAAGAATGATGTATGATGTTTTAGTCGTCATTAATAAATCATCTTTATACACACTTGTCTTAAAACTATCATATAGAATGCCTTATGTTCAACCCACTCTCTTCATTAAATAATGAAATTGATAAATCATAACGAACCGCTCAAATGAACCAATTTAACAAAAAAAGAAAGAGAAAAAACATAGACTCTCTCACACGCACACCCCCTTTTTTTAAAATAAAAAATTAGAGTCAGTTTCTATCGCCGCTTTTTTTCTTTCTCTCTCTCTTTCCCTTTCTCTCTATACTTCAACTATCTTTGTAGTATATAAAGAATATACTCGTTAAAGGAAAAAGATAAAAAGAAACTATTGGCTAATATGCAAGCAACAACAGTCTATTATACTGCAACTTACCCATCTCCTTACCCTGATGCTGAATCGCAACCAGCTTCTACAACTACCGCTACTACTACTGCTACTGCTACTAACAGTGCTCCTTCAGTTACATCTATTCATACCGCACAGGATATGACAAGTGCTCCTATTGGCAATGGTATCAAACGTAAGCAGGTTAAAAATGCATGCAGTAAGTGTATACACAGAAAAAAAAAAAAAAAAGAAAAAAAATTGTTATCTGATGACGACATGATATTTATTATTAACCTAATTTCTCTACTATTTAGCCAATTGCCAAAAGGCTTGTAAAAAATGTGATGATGCTAGACCTTGTCCTCGTTGTATAAAATATGGTATAGCAGATACCTGTGTCAATTCGGTCAGAAAGGAACGTAAAAAAGGGATCAAGCGTGGACCTTATAGAAGAAGACAGAAGCAGTCAAGTGGTAAGTGATATAACGTAGAGGAGGGGAGTGATCTCATATGGTTCTTATCTAGTAGATGGTTCCAAGGAGATCAAGCCGGAATTCAATCCTTCCAACGCCGCTTCAAACACGGGTCCAAACACGACATCTACAATCGCCTCACCATCAGTAGCTGCTGCTGCCCCTGCTACTCCTACACCTGGCCTTGCTGCATTTGGGTATCCTCCTAATCTTAATCAGTATGGTCAGCCTTATGACGCCTATTATAGCGTAGCTACTGGTACTACTGCTTCAAGCGCCTCTGGTACACCCACGACCACTGCCTATTCAAAGGATCAGATCATGCCACAACAATACGTCTTACCAATTTATTCTCCTTATCCTGTTTTGGTGAGCGGTAATGGTACTTTAAGTACGAATGAAAACAATGAAAATAACAATACAGAAAATGGTAATCATCCATCTCCTTATCATCACTATCAGTTACTTCAACAGACTCGTAAACAAAAAAAGATAAAGTACAGGCTTTTTAAACTTACGCTTTTTTTTTATATATATAGTACAAAATGAAGTTAAATCATCGGCTCCTAGTACAACCAATTCTTCTTTTCCTCCTTCTCCAACAGAACATCAAGAGGACGACGATACCTCAAAGTTTGCTCGCTTAACACAGCTCTGCTCTGCTGCACTAAAGGAGAACAAGGCCATAAACGAGCCTTGCGAACACAAGACAAATATTGAAAAGAAAGATTAAAGCATATCTTGTCCACCGTTTAATAAATAAAAAGTGAATTATGCAATTTGACAGGTCAACTCCGATTCTTTACCAGCCATTTGCTTGAAAGGCACGCATACTTAATTCGTAGGCTGTAAATGTTGCCCCCGCTGCAGGAATACTGATCAAAGTCTTTGTTACAAAAAGTCAGTTTATATAGTGTTACTCTTACCTTCTTAATATAGTAGGAGCTATACCACGATACCATCCAGCCAAACCATCTCGTCTATATATTTGTTTCAACACACTTGTCACATACAAGCCTTTGGGTGGTTCGGCTTGATTTTGTACCTAAAATACCGGTCAGCATTCAAGAAAAAAAAAAAGAAAAAAAAACTTACTACTGATTTCACTACATCTAAGGGATAGCAACTTAACCAGTAACCAACACCACCGGTAGCACCTGCTGCCATCAACTCTAAAACCGTCGCTTCTCGCTTGCCATTCTCTGTAAGGTATCGCTTGGTCATTTCAAACCCAGTGTAGAAACCAGCATAGGCTGGTATTTCACGTACAATCGTAGCCCACAAGCCTCGAAAGAGTCCATGAGTGACGCCATCCCGCTGAATGAGATAGCGTGCACAGTCAAGAGGCCCTGTGAAATACCGTCCGATCGCCGTCGTTTTGGACCCATACTGTGCTTGTAATTTGATCTTCAACATCTCTACTGGAGACGCTAAAACACTGTTTACAATACCCGCGCCAGCGCCAGCGATAGCAATCTTGTCCAACGTCAACGGCCGGCCGTCCTTGCTGAAGTGGTTCTTGATGGTTGAGTTGGCAGTAAACAAAAGTGCATTCACTGCACCAATACCTACCAATGGACTAGCCATACCTATTTTTTTGTAAGTAAAGGTGCTGTGTACCCCCGAAGCATATACCTTTATAAAGAGCAAAGAAGCCTTCCTTTTGTATTGTCTGAACCGCACAGTCCCAAGCACCTCTAAATTTTCCATGATCTAACTGAAGTCGCACCTTGATCGTATCTAATGGTTGACCGACCAATACTTGTGCCATACCAGCAAAACTAGCTTTGTAAACGTATGTTCCCCAAAAATACAATCTATGTTACTTACTTTCCAGAGATAAAGTCTGCAGTAGCTGATGTTGGCTTATTGTTAGTCATGATGATGGTGAGCGTGGGACTTTTTTTGATTAGTAAAATAAGGGAAAAAGAAGAGTGAAATCAATCTATTTTTTAAACCGTTTAAAGATTGCGTGCTTTAAAGCACAGTGTTCGCACTTTCAATTCAGGCAAATAGAAATTGAAGGGTCGGTCGTACCTTCATAGACTCTTTTGATAGATTATCGGATTAAGTGAGTGGGTGAAGATGTAATAACAATAAAAAGAAAAACCTTGGATGCAATAGAGGTATGGTAATAAACAATAGCGAATAAGGCTTGCACGGTATGATCCAGATTAAGTAATATACATTCAAAACATATTGTTGCTGCTGAATCAAAACAGAGTCCGAGTTTCGCAAGAGAGTAGAGACAGTTGTCACAGCTGACTAATGCCTACCAATGGATACTATTTCAATTGATTTTTATTTTAACTAATTTGGTGATGAACGAGGGCTTGGTGAACTTCTTGACTGCAGTTCTAACTTTGTATTTCTTTTTGAGGCTCTTTGCCTCCTCCTACAAAAAAAGATGTGAATAAAAAGTTCAACGCTTTATGCATCTATACATACCAAGACAAAGGACAAACACTCCACAGCTCTTGGCAAATTCATCATGTCAACATTAGACTCTGGTAGTCTAAACTTGCTAATAGTTACAGGCAGGTAGACGCCTTCTTCTACAAGCGTCATTCTCACCAAAGTGCAAAGAAATCCTAAAATGCACAATTTAGAAAGGTTCGTTGTAAGTGCTTTTTTTAAAAACTGATACTTTCATAGTGTAAGCCTAATGACACTGGATTTTCAATCCCAAGTCTTGCTTGATGACCAACCGAATGCTTGAGATGTTTCAGAATCTTGCAAAAGTTGTCTTCTGTTTGATACTTGCTCAACTTGTTCGGACGTTTAAGCTCAACAAAGAAAGAGTATACCTTCCTTTTACGGTCTTTAAAACCCAGCATGAAATCTGAGGCTACACTTGGATCAGAGGTGTCGTTCCTAATGCAATACAGCAATTAGTCAATAAAATCACACATGCAAGTGGTAATAATAGGTCTACTTACGGAGAGCACACGTTATCATGTGTACATTATTTCAAAATAATAGCTCTGATCAAGGGCTTCAGATGCTTGTCAATGAATGCATCCTCAGAGTGGAAATTTGCAGCAATGGAGGTGGACGCGAATTCCAAACACTCTTCAAATTCTCAACCAACCTTGACATTGGCTTGAAGCTGATGGTTGAGAAGTCAGTGCCTTCATCAATTGTCTATTTAGTAAAACTCAATATTAGAGAGAAGTTTGTATCTAAGGGTTTAATGTCTTACATCAGAGATAAATTCACAATATCCTACTGCTTCAGTGGATGCTTTCTTCACAACAATGTCTTGGTATGCGAATGTATGTGATATATCCTTGGTTCCTGAGATATTTGCTGAAGTGCATTTGTCAGCCTCCATCTTGCTCACAGGGAGTATGTGAGATAGTGACATATATTGTAAAGTACACATTTGAGAATTTAATTTGTAAACTATAGAACACTCTTACAAGGCCTGCATCGTGTTTAGATTGCCGGTTATTTCAACAATCTTTATGCTGCGTTCTCTGAACTTTGATATTTTTTCCGTTATTTTACTCCATCTAAAATTAACCATTTCTATAGGTGCAAGTATCTAGTAGCAGCTAACTTTTGAGTATACCATACAAGACTTTCTGGTATTCATTTCTTTTCACCAGAATCAAAGAAATAGTTTAGAGATTTTTTTCCTCTTTACTTCTACGCCTGACATAGAAGGCTGGGAGGATTCCAAATATTTAGAAGAGGCTGTTAATTAAAAGAATAGTTGAACATGACAACAAAATAAGTATTTTTTGATGAAAAGCTCTCAGTGGAAATAAAGCTGCTTAAACTACCTCGTTCGAATGCTCTTTTTTTATAGTGACATGTGATAAAGGTATTTGAAGTGGCCACCAGAGCTTGTAAAGTTGATCAAACAATGATATACAAAGGAAAGTAAAAGAAAAAAAGAAAATAAACGTGGAAAACTGACAACATTTATCAGCCGGACCTTACGGAGGTGTGGTCATATGCCTTTCTTCTGGGCGCTTAATCAGGTTCATTTAGCCAGGCATAAATATAACAGATAGTACATAACTGTTGCTAATTTTAAGAAAGTGATCCATATCACATCTTTATTGTTTTAGGCTTGACAAAGGCCGTGAGTAGTGAAAATTGTCACAAGTATGATCCATATGACATGTAATATAAACAAGACTAAGCTGGGTGAGTTGGACTCATGCCAAAAATCAAGCGTAGCAAGGAATATGATGGGATATAACACAACAGGTCGTGTAGAGTATGGAGAGCAAGAATAAGTGCATGAAGCAATCTAGATGATGTTACTCTTACTTTTTGCATATAATATGTTATCATTTACCTTTAATACCGCCACGGCGGTCTTTAGTATCTTTACGTACTGCTTATCCATAAGCATCCACCTTTGGGGTTCAGAGTTTGGTGAATTTAATAATAAACCGACTGGTAAATCGAGATTTTCATCAGCAGTTGCCATTGCAACATCTTGATCATTTTTCTTATGTCGCTTTCGACTTGTGTCATTATCTTCGCTCGCACCAGAGCGTTTCAGATCTCCATGATCTTCCACAATGATTCCATTAGGATCTGTGCCGTCAGTGGATGGAGATTCAGGTACGCTCCAGCTGAAAGCGTTTGTTCTCTCTCTAATCTTGATCAATATCTCATTACATGATGGTCGTTTTGCAGGATCTACAGATAAAAGGAGTCGTATCAGCAACTTCAACTCATTTGGTATATCAGAATCAATCTCTGGATTATTCATTGCATCTAGATATAAGGGGTTATTTTCTTTGTCCTTGTAGATATCTAGCCTTGATTTTGGAAAGATCACTCTATCAACATGTCTGTTAGTCTGCTTATGTCACTCAAGATCTACTCATATTACTCTTTAAAGGACAGTATCTCTTGTCTTAATATGTCTATATCATCAATGTTGCTATAAGGCAATCGAGAATAGCACAGGTAATACAGGACCATGCCAAGAGACCACATATCTGCCTTTGGTGAATAGTCGACCATATGCCTTCCTCTAGGATCAAGCTGAACATGCTCGGGCGCCATAAACTCCAATGTGCCCGTTGCTCCCGTTCGATTATTCACAGACAACTCACCCTCTAGATCTTCACACTCTCCGAAATCAGAGATCAGTACGCGTGGACTATATGCCAACGGTCAGTCTATTTGAAAGGGAGTACATTGTTTTTCATTAATATATGTACATGCCATGATGTCCATTTCTATCTCGTTGATCATATTGAAGTAACAGATTAGGAGGCTTTAGATCCCTGTGAACAATATTCTGCTGATGCAAGTGAGCAAGACCTTGCACAATATCCAGAAAGAGCGACCAAATTTCTGTCAACGTCAGCAAGCGTTTTTCTACAGAGGCCTCATTCTCATGCTCAAACATCTCCTGCTGCCTAAGCTGTCTCTTTATTCTTTCTCTTTTAGTCTCTTTGCGCCCCTGTTTTGAAGACGCAGGTATAGGTGTGATCAGGGGCTCAAAGTATTCCTCTAGGTTTCCTCCATTAGCACACTCCATCAAAATAAACAAGCACGGTACTTCAGGGCCAAACGGAGTTAGTTGATAATACTCAAGCCATGAATGCTTATATGTCACAATATTCGCGTGTCTCAGTCTTTCCAATAAATGCACCTCCCGAAGCATCTGTACGAGCCAAGGATGGTTGTTTCCAATAGCCACCTTTTTCACTGCATATTTACCCAATTTGACACCATCTAGGACATGCTTTTTTTTTTAAGTTAGCTTCATCTTTTACATGAATACTATACTTACCTCACACAAAAATACACTTCCTCGAAATCCTTTACCAAGTCTTTTCAATTCAACAAAGAACTTTGAATAATAGCCCTGATTAAACGCATTTTCATTCAAATTGATAGGTGGATTGATCCTTGGTGGTTCTGGGCTAAATGTACTTGACCTTGACTGAACAGGCGAACTAGTAAGCAAAGATGAGTATTAGGTAAAGTTTCTTTAACCTTGAATAGTTTACTTGTCAGCAGACACATTGGTAGATGAGGCCAGTAATCGAAAGTAGTTTTGATCCATATAATCAGGTTCATTATCCTACAAGAGTTAACTCTTTCTCTTTTTTTTTCTCTCTTTGTTTTTCATCATACTTACATTCCTGGGAATAGTACGGTGACAATAAGGGCATTTCTCTTCCTCGTCCTAATAAAAGGACACTTTAAATCATATTCTTCTTCTCTTTTAGTGCTATTCTTACCGAAACTGGCATAGTTGAAGATCCATTACCTGTTGTACTTGTTGATGTTTGGTTACCAAGTGTGGTATCAGGTGAAGATCTTCGCACTATGACTGATTGACTATCCCTATTATACAGTACCACTTGTCCCTTGGCGCTATTTTGTCTAAAAAAGACAATAAGTATAATAATAAAGAGTAGCTTGCTTTTATATAATTTACGAAATGACAGTCCAATCACGATATGGAATTAACTCAAAGTGATCACTTGAGTTACTTTCTCGGTTAGGTTCAATAGCAAGAAGTTGTCCAGACGATGGCAATCTATTCCTAATCAGCACGTTCCTTCTTGGACTATCAGGACGAGGTTGATAATCACTAGGCAAATAAGGTAAAGGAGGAGGAACTCTCATAAAGTGACCACCACTGATGAGAGCCAAAGCTTCAGTGGCTTCTGATTCACTCGCTCGACGTTTATTATGTACAGCGTTGTCCATTAAGAAAAAAGAGAGAAAAAATATGCTTTATGCAAATTTGTCTGAGATTTACTGATGATAAAAATAGCCAATAAAATTGCAATAATGACTTAAACATGTCAAGTATCTTTTCAACAACTACATCGGCTTATGGTTCAAAACAGTCTTTGAATCTAGCAACTAAGTATCTTACAGAACCTTTAAATCTTGCTTCAAAGGAATCAGCATGCAGCCTTGCTACTTGACAGATTGAAAAAGAAGAGATAAAATGCGGTTATTTTAATTTATATTGCTAGTTTGACCAACAGAGTTTCAAGATCCTTAGGTGTACGTCTTTAAAAAAAAAAGAGCACTATTGCATTTGAGTTTTGTAATAGAATCAGATAAAGTGAAAAGCATGATGAGACTGCATGCATCTTTATTCAAAATAAAGTAGAGAGAAAAAAGAGATGATAGCATAAACGGCATTTATATATTGAAACGGGTGAGTTTTGATGGACTCTGTGTTTTAATGACAACAGTTTTTCTAGTTTCCTATATGTTTTTTAATGTGTGAACCCACCGAGAAAAGAACATAAAAGATATTGATCAATAAAAAAGGGGTAGCAGGCTTGTGTAACCGCTGTTCTTTAAGTCAACATAGTTCAGGGAATAATTCCAAGGAGAATACGTCCTTCTCCCTTTTTTTGGAAGAAAAAGTCCGCTGATGAAGCTTGTTCTTTTTTCTTTTTCGTTTTTAAACTTTTCCATCAGCACAAATGGATGATGCATTACTAGCACAATTTCAAAAGGCTCGATTAGAAGAACATGATGATAGAGATAGGATTGAGCCCGAAACTGATGATGAATTAGAAGAAGAAGAGGAACAAGTAACTATTGATTATTTTGATCAACTTGCTCTAATGTTTTGTTCTAGACAGACATAATGCCAGAACTATTAAGAAATGAAGGGCCTCAAACAGGACCAAAAGGAGTAAAGGCAGATCATGACTATTATCAAAAGATTCAACAGGAATCAAAAGCAAGAGAGATTGCGGCATACAATGCACGCGTATTAGCAAAAGCGCCCATGACTACGACCTATGCAGAAGATAAGAGACAAGAGAAATTACTGATATTGGAACATAAAAGCGATGATGACGATGATGAAGAAGTGATAAAGATGTATAGACAGAAAAGATTAAATGAGTTGAGGAATATGAAGGCAAATAATCACTTGTTACGGCAGCAACAAAAAGTGTTTGGATATGTTAATGACGTGAACGTAGATGAATATCTTAAAGCTATTGATAATGAATGGAAGACTGTGCCTGTCATTGTTCATATTTATGACAAAGTAAAAATGAGCAAGAAATACACGCTATGGTTTGATTTTACTGATGTTTTTCATATAGAGAATACCCGCTTGTAACAAATTAGATGAGTACCTGATTGACTTGGCAAAGAAGTATGCATTAGCCAAATTCATAAGAATACATGCTACTGAGATAGACTTTGATCTGGTTGGTTCGCCTGCTATTCTGGCTTATCAAGGTGGCATATTAATAGCCAATCTTGTAAGAATAATAGATGAGGTTGGACAACGATTTGATGTGGAATCCATTGAGGATATTTTACAACGGTAATAATAATAATAATAATCAGAGAACAACGTTTTCATAAACATATATCTATATATATTAGTCATGGTGCTTTATCTGAAAACGATATATACGAAAAGATACCTGACGACAATGATGATGATGATGACTATGATGATGACATGTAGTGTTTTTTAATGTAAATAAAATGGATACCTGACTCTTTCAGCTCTTTGTTGTTGAATATGCATATATTTATTACAGAAATGATTTACTATTCATCAATGTCATCAGAATAGAGTAACACCAATTTGCCATGAATTGTTAACTCTTGAATATCATTGCAGTAGATGTAATAGCGGCTATACTTTTGTGCATGGCATTCTACGGCTTCTTCCTCTGTAATCTTTGCAAGTGCTTTCCATCCTTCCACCTTGATATGCAGATGTTTTCTCAAAGTCTTAATGGTTAGCAAACACGGTGCATTCATGAAAGCTCCATTCTTTAAAGAGTACAGATTGAGTCTTCTTAACTTTACGTCTTGCAAGTCAATCACTACATGGCTATCAGTACTATCTGGACCAATAACACAGATGCCACTCAAGGTAACATCTTCCAAATGAGGACACCGAGTACCCAGAGTTTGAAAAAAATTGACGTGTACTTGAGCTGAGGAGATATTCAGTATCTTCACTGACCTATAGACATGATTTTCAAAAGGTTGCAGGCGTACACGAAAAAAGGTTAGTTCGTAAATCAGAGGGCATTTTTCTATTGATGAGTAATCATTCTCAGATAGTCCTATATTTGAGTCCTCGCCTTCTATTGCCAGCTGGTGGAGGTATTGGGATAAATTACTTTCAAATAAGACATGTTGATTAATGAGATCGGAAAATGCCAGCCCTGACTGAACCAGGCAGTGCATTTGCTTGTCCCCATGATTAGTTAGGCTTGTTGTAAGCAACATACGGTTGGCAGTAAATGATTGCTTACTAATTCTTAACGAATTTCGAACGTTTGGTAGCACTGATCGACGTTTGAAGGTAGCGTTTAGGCATTCAGTAACCATTTGAGCTATTTCTCTTTGAATTCCTGTAATAATTCTACCAGCGCCATCGTTTACATCAAAGTGAAAGACAAAGTTGTACTTGGGATGAGCTATGCGACCATCCAAAAAGCGACTATAAGTTTCTCCAAGCGATACAATGTTGTGTGGATATACAAAATAAACATAGAACGTAGAAAGATTAACAAATCGTGTTGAGATATAGTGTATAAGTGAACTTGGTATAGTCGAGTGAAAAGTTGCGATAGTTAGACTGGTTAAAGAGGGATAAGGGTCTTGATTTAGTACTGGATGGGATACATCATCTATCTCAATAGTGATATCCAAAGTATCTATATTTGAGCATGTATCAAAGATGAATGCGAAATCTTGCACAGACGAGACGGCCAAACGTGGAGGGAGTGTAAGTTCTTGTAGTGACGGAAATGACTGCAAGAACTGCAGGTCTGTCACATGTTTGGGCACAGACATGTTAGTGATGGAGTCCTTATATTTCAAGTAGTGATGCAACGTGGGCTGATAAGGTAAGTCTGCAAATATTTCCTCAAGTTTCCATTTGATATCATCATCAATTTCAAGTAGGTAGGTCGATACACATGTTTCGTATAGGCGTGGAAAGACAAGAAGCATTTTGACGTTAGGACAACATATGACCAATTGTTTGAACTCTTCAAAAGATAAATGGTCAATATATTCAAGGCTTAACTCCTTTATACATTCTCTAGGATCTATCCGACCAGCGGTTTCTTTTACTTCCCAAAGATCAAAAAAGGCCTTTATGTCGCCTGAAATACGAACTTCTTTAAACAGGTATTTTGTAACCACAGAATTCCACTTTAAGCAAACTGTTCGGCACTGAAATAAAGTTTTCTTTGGAAGGTCTTGAAGAATAATGTCGAGAATGTGTAGGGGTATTTGTTGAATCTTGACCATTTCGAAATGTTGCAAAAAAGAAAACCTTCTACACATGTTGCATAAACGTTTAAATATTTTTAATTTATTTATAAAATGCATGAACAGAAATTATTCACACATCGTTCAACAACCACACTTTTGTTTATTGTTTAAAAGACATCATGTAATAATACATAAAATGAGCTTGATACTTTTGAGTACAAGTCTCTAACAACCTTTCATTTTGTTATAAAGTGTTGACTACATTTATCTTTATACAAGTATTCTTTGACCTCCTTTCTTTTCTTTGAACCAAAATGACCAACTATTCCCCAGCTATCCCCTAGCTAGCCCTAAAGTATGCTATATTATGAGCAACTTTTGAAGTAAACCGGCAAAACTATCGCAGTACTAGATGAAGAATAGTTTGGTAAGAGCCAAACTTTGGTCCCATCCACTCCTTTGGCCGTTCTTTTTTCTTTTCTTTTCTTTTCTTTCTTTACGTTTCTGGACCAGCGAAGACTGATCCAACCCATGATGCATTTTGTATAAGCTATTAAAAACCTCGTTTGTGCGTTTACTCGCTTTTCTTGTCTCCTTTTCTCGTATAAGCTCCCCTCTCTTTTGATGTAATATCTGATATATATCTCATTCTTTTATCATTTTATTTTCTGCCAATTTGCAAATAATTTCTAAATAAAGTGTAGACATCTCCTACCATGAACGCTTTCATACGGTCAATACCTTGTAGTGTATACTGGCACGTTTCCCTAAAAGGAAACACTAAATAAAAGTGTCTTCATGGTCTATAAACAGGGGAATTACTAGGGACATGCAAATATATTTCCTTTTTGGGCGTGACACGTGTTTGTGTAACAATATATACAGTGAAGGTCTCCATTATATTTCTGCACTGCTCGAGCTTTAAAGTTTTGTGTGTCCCGTCAAGAAAGGAAATAAAATAGTGTGTTCCCTCAAATAGGAAAGTTTTTTTTTTTGCGTGTCCCGCCTAAATAGGAAGATCATTAGAGAAGTATAAAGCAGCAAAAATAGATGAAGTTGATCATGCAGCTGCAGCTGTCGTTAAAGGTCGCATGAAATCAACAGCGGGAAAAAGGTTACTCTCTAGTTTTGAAATAGCTGAAAAAGAAATTCAAACGGTAATGTTGAATGTTTGACATTTGGAATTTGGGGCTTTACAAATGCACGATGATATGTGGCGATTTTATAAAGGTAATCCAAAATGCTCGTCATTAACATGATACTGCTTTTGGTCTTTGGTATTATAATGGTTGCAAGTGCTGCAAATGCATAAATGGTGGAATACGTATGGACCATTGTGTAAAATGATTGATGTTCCAAGCGCTTGGAAGCACAGCACACCGTTGATGTTACTGGATACCATTTCCAATTTGGCGAACACGCCCAAACGATAGAAGTTCATTATTGATAGTGTATCGGATGATCCTTCACCTTTGATTCCCCTAAAACATGTTCGATAGGAAGGTTGATACTGGTCATACATCATGACTTTGTAATCTGAACGTCGATTCACATCAGTACCATTGTCTGGAAGGGTGTTAGTACATCTTGCAACTTTATCGTCATTTTCACAAGAAAGTAATGCTTGGACAAGAGGATGAATGAAAGAGGCAGCAAACTCCGATTCACGAAGATGACCTATATCCAAATCCTTGAGTGCAGGGAAAAGAGCTTCAATCGCCAAAACGACATTGCGCTCCGCACCACCCTTCGTCATCGCAAGCTTGATCAAAAATGTTGTGTTAATAAATTATTGATTTTGTTTTCGTGATAGTCGCGGATAATGGTTTTAATATCCATGTAAAGATTGGCGTTAAGTGAATCAGTTAGCGTCAATGAGTTCACAATAGTTTGATGCGCCGTTTCCAACAGAAATGGAGAGAAATATCCCACAGGGGCAGATTCGTATTTCGTTCGCTTTTGTAATACCAGTATGAGAGAAAGGCACCTATAAAAAAGAAAAGATAAGCATGAAACTATCGAATTACCAAGCTATATAAATGAAAACAAGAATTACAAAAGTTGGTTGAAATATCGATCGACATCCAAGATCTTGTGACAATTTTCCAAACATGCGGCAAGGTATTCGTGAAACCGTTCAACAATATTGATCGGCATCACCTGAGCCTAAATATCCCATTTCTTTGGACAAAGCACAAACAAACGATGAAGACCCTCTGTTGATACTAAACAGAAGATACAATACTCGGATTGAGATCTAGACGAGAGCTTTGTAATTGTGCGTTGACAATGAAGCTTGCCATGCACCAATCTGAACCATAAAGAGCTAGCTTCCAAAGGCATATCTATTCTCCAAAAACTTTTCCAAGCAGTTGATGATATTGCCAATTGGGCTGAACTGAGAAATCGTTTCTGAATAACTTGATGTCGAAACAATTTCGAACTATACTGAGGCCAGAAGGAGGACTGCGAAAAGCTTCAAGCAATGGCTTAAAATCTATATTATCTATAGGCTATCCATGAGTGGTAATATGATTCCATAGATTGCTTGTCAATCGGATAGTACGGCTATGTATATCACGAAGCAAATTTCTTGAGAGATTAGGGCGTCCCAGATGGTCCGGCGGTAGCATTGGCCAGAGACAAGCTAACACCTGATTGAAGGTGAAGATACCCTATTTTAGCTTGCCAATGTCGAGGCGAGGCAACCCAGTGCTCAGCTGAAATCTCATGGAACGCACATCTCATTTGATAATCTGATGCTGCTCTAAGAAGTGAGCCCATTCCGGCTGTGGTCGACCATTCAAAGAAAGAGCCTCTATTTTAATCATATTCAGCCTAGCATTAGATACATAATCATAGTTGGATAAATGGGTTTGGACGCGATTAAAGTCATTGAAAGATTGAAGCAATACACATACATCATCTGCATAAGCCAACACTTTGAGGGTTTCCGGAGAGTTGTATATCTCATTTCTTTCTTGAAATCCCGGAATAAGAGGAGCATACCCGATAATTGAACTGTCTTGGATAATATGGTATAGTAGCCCTTCCAAAGCAAAGTTGCAAAGAAGTGAAGACGAGGGATCATCTTGACGAAGTCCTCGTTCTTGATGTATGGCAGCCATAAAATGTCCATTAATATTAACACTTGTTTGATTCTGGAAGAATAAAGCACACAATGTGTTGATAAGAATTTGTGGGAAACCGAAGAATTCAAGAGTGTGTCTGAGATAAACTGGATGTACTCTATCGTAAGCTTTTTCTAGACCTAAAAAAAACCAACATCGGGAAGCTGTTTGACAGAAGCTTGCTCCATAGCAATGTTTAGGATCATCCCATTGTCACCAATAAAACGGCCAACTATAAACCCCATTTGAAAGCCATTTATGAGAGACGACGCAGCATCAGTTAATCTACTACTGATTATCTGTAAAAAAATTTTGGCATCATAGTTTATAAGAGAAACTGGACGCCAGTTTTTGAGTAAAGACAGGTCACCTTTCTTGGATCACAGACATACACATATATCATTCCAAGAGTCAGAAAAGACACCTGGATAAGGCTTCATGCGAATTTACTTTCTGAAAAGAGTGTAATTTGAGAGAATTGTCTGAATTTTAATTTGAATTGTGAGCAATAATGATGACGATTTATCGGACTGCGTCGCGGTAAAATGAAAGCTTTGACCATTTCTGACAACAGCTTTAAAAAGTCTCCCTTTTCTTTCTTCAATACAACATAAAGATATGACCTTATTATCAAGACTACAATCCATTTCATCCCATCTTCAAGGCAAAATAAGCACAAAGCCTATCATTTCATTCATTGGCGGAGGAAACATGACTGAAGCTATCTTGGCAGGACTACATTCAACTGGATATCCTTCTTCCAACTTGCGCTATTCTGAACCCTCAGAAGAAAGACGTGTCTATATGCAATCGAAATATCCTGATTTCTCTAGTACAGCAGATAACTTGATAGCAGCTGAAGGTGCAAATATAGTAATCTTATCTGTGAAACCCCAGGTGTTAAAATCAGTCGTCACTTCTATGGCATCCTTATTTAACAAAGATCCATCCATATTACTGGTGTCAATAGCAGCAGGCATAACAACAAGCGATATCAACAAGTGGATCAACTCAAAACATCCCGTATCTATTGTGAGATGTATGCCTAATACTCCTGCTTTAATAGGCGAAGGTGCTGTGGGTCTATATGCAACACATACTGTGAATAATGAACAACGAGAACTAACAGAAAGTATCATGAAATCTATTGCTAAGCAGATAGCTTGGATTACAGATGAATCACAAATGGATACCGTCACGGCAATCAGCGGAAGTGGTCCTGCGTATTTCTTTTTAATGATGGAAGCAATGGGTAAACATTCAGAGGCAATACCCATATTGTATAAACTTATGTTATTATATAGAAAATGCTGCAGTTGAGGCTGGTTTATCTCGAGATGTAGCAAAGGCACTCGTTATGCAAACATGTTTGGGAGCTGCTCGTATGGCCCAAGAATCCCAAGATGATTTAGCCACCTTACGTAAGAAGGTAACGTCTCCTAAAGGCACAACAGAGGCTGCTATTCAATCCTTGGAATCAAATCAATTCAAAAAGATCATATCTGATGCTGTCTTTGCTGCCCGTGATCGTGGAAAAGAATTGGCTGAACAATTGGGTAAAGAAGCATAAGCCATGTATTTATTATATTATTCAAACATTTCTGGACATCGTTGACCAAACTCTACCACTTTATTGGCCAAGTCGAGATCTATAATAAATAGATTTGTTTAATATATCATTGTTTATAATATCTATTTGTTGTTTATGTTTACCAAAGTTGTCTCCCATATTAGTCGTCTTGAACTCTCTTATAGTGAAATCTTGATCAACTTGTCCAATCACTTCAACATATTGTGTTCCCCATTGACTTTCCTATTTTTAAAAAAGTTATTCAATCTGAATCCCCCTTTCTTTTGATCTATAATGCTTTACACCATTCAAATGGACTAAAACTTGTCCATGATCTGATGCTTCTAATACTGCGGTATTTCCAGAAAACTACGCCATTGTTCAGTAATGACAAAGCCATACATGTCTTTATTATTACCGATGTAATCTTTCCAACCAGACGAACTGTCTTTCCAACATATTTTTCTCTTAACGCTGAATTAACTCTTGGTGTGGGCTTTTCCATTTTTATATATATATATATATATATATGCTGTTACTGAAAAAGGGAAAAGACGCGAAAAATAATAAAAAAAAGAGTTATTTAGAGAGGCGTTTCTGTCATGTATGATTGGTTAGAATTTTCTTTATTGCGGACGTTCAAACCAAATGAGGATATTCTTGTATGAGGTCTATGATTGTACTTCCAGCTAACCCATTTGCCCAACTAAACCATGCTCTTGTGTATTTACTTGGCTCATTGCTATTCATTGACTCACACATCAGACTATTTGCACTCTTGGCAACTTGCTTAACTAAATCGATAAGTTTTCGTATTTCATTCTCATTACTTGAAGTCTTGATCTGCATCAAGATACTCATAGGCCATACCATATCTTCCCCTGTATGAGGACTTCCGATGCCCTTGACGAACTTGCCTTCAAAGTACCATGGATTCCAATGAGAGAGCACGAGTCTTCTCGTGTTCTGATAGACAACGTCATTCTTTGTTGTAAATCCCAGATAAGGTAAGCTCAGCAAAGAGGGTAAGTTGGCATCGTCCATGATAAGTACTGAGCCATAGCAGTCAACTTCATAAGCATAGATTTGACCAAATACAGGATGTGTCACAACTCCATGCCGTTCCACTGCGATCTTGACAGTCTGTCCGATCTTGGATGCAATTTCTGCTAAATCTTTATATTCTTGCCGATAGCTTGCTTTTGTATAAACTCGAATGTGTTTGCTTAATCTTGTCAGTTCGACAGAAATATGAGCATTCGCTGGAATCTATTTTTTTTTTTTGGATTACATCATTTGTTATATTTGTATGCACGACGATGATCCTTACCAAGTATGGCAAGGTTGTGGCATCATCACTTGGTCTAAATGCGCTCTTGATCAGTCCACATTTTTTGCCTATGGCTCCTATACCAGATTGACCCAGGGTCTCTGTTGGTCTATCAGTATATCTCGTAAATCTATATCCTTGCTCTAGCGGCACTCGCTGTGGATCGTCTCGAACGGAGGTTGTTGATGTAGACGGCCAAGTATCTTTCATTTGATCTTGAAGTACTTGAAGCACTCTTGTAGCAGCATTCATCCAATCAGTCGATTCTAGTATACGCTCGATCTCACCTGTAGCATCCACATAGTCATTTGTCAACTTGAAGAAATGACTGATAGAGTCCAGCTCATACTGCAAAAAAAAATATAAAACGATAAATGACGACTGTCCTTTCTTTTTATTCTTTTTTTTTTTTTTACCTTGGATTCCCACACTATGGTCGGATCATAAGCAGGTGTGACCTTGTCCGTAGTCGAACCCTTCCGTGGGTTCTCAACTGGTGGAGCATACCAAGGACGAAGAAAAGCGTTTGCATAAGGATCATAGTCGAGATAACTTGCCTGAACCTGAATTACGCCAAATATTAGATCCTTTAGCCCCGGGTCTTCATTTACAAATCTAATATAAGGAGATATTTGGTTGGTAGAATCGCGTATCCACATGGCTGGTACTAGTTATATCCTTTAATAATGAACATACAAAGAATATTTAATTTACGTACTGTCGCCTGTGATCAGAAATGTCCTCGGATCCGTGCTATTATAATTGAACCATTCTACGGTGGTATCCAAAGTGTTGGGTAGACAATTTTGTAGTAACACGTACAGGTCCTTGTCTTTCATCTGGGACTCGGTCTTGGTCAAGAATTGCTCAACGGCTGGACTTGTATACTTGCGATGCTCAGGTCTGACGAGCGAGAGGCCATAATGGGTTGGTACATATGGAGGCTGTAGTTTGTGTGGAAAGTAGCGATACAGCAACACCAGGTTGACGAGAATAATAAAGTATAGAATAAGTAGTTTTGCAATGGTACTCATATTAAACAAGAAACGAGAAAAGGAAAGGGAGAAAAGGTAATAATGAAATTATAGGATGTGCATTGAAATTGATCACGCGTGCATCAAAGAGGGAACACAGTGCGGCATAATTAGTTAGTGCAGGTGATCCTCCGCAATGAATAAAAGGCACTAAATCCATTTAAAAATATTTTACAGTGTCCACAGGCTCAATTTGCGCGAGTTCATGTTGGATATTGACGGCTTTTCAGCATGAAATAAAGCGTCATTTTCAGCCCAATCTTTGGTTTACAGTTTCCTTGTCATATAGCTCATTAGAGCTGCAGGTAGAATCCTCGAGCTTATTTTCAATAATCGCATTGCTAAAAAAAAGCTCTTATTCAGCATGTCAGCCTGATAAACCACATTACATTCATATATAGACTATGGTGCTAAACTTAGAAGAATGAATAGTAATAAATTAACAGTTTAATAGTTTTTCACCACTTTTGGAATCCGTCTGGTACTTGTCGCCATTTTAACTCCTATTTATTAAAATACAGTGAGGGTACCTTTGGACGAAACAATGAGCGCTTTGTCAGTTTTGAGTAAAGAGCATGACAAAGTATTAGGGGAGACCTACTTTGGAACCGATGATAATACCCATGTCTCTTTACTTGACTTTGTCAATCCTGTTCTTGTTCGATTAAATGAGAACAAGCATAAGGGTGAAGTGGCCGAAGAAGGCCCACAAAGCCCTAGCTCTTAGTTTTAGTATTATTTTTTTAATATAGTAGCAACAAACTATTAAAGTTTATTAGCAAAGTTGTAAAAGATAATGATTTATTTACTAATAATGTTAAACTACTGAAAGAAAATTTAAGTCATGTACACCAAACAATACTGAAATGTTTGTGGTAAATAGAAAGGATGTTTACAGCTCATGCGTTCTAAAGTGTAGTATATATCACAGTTACTCAGCTAGAGTTTGCAGCTGGGGTGTGAAAAGAGATAAAAGGTAAAATAGTTGCGAATAACTGGCTAGAAGTTATACTATAAGTCTGTGTAAAAATAAAAACAATGTATATTTGATAAAAGCTCGTTTAGAAAGTATTGGTAGTTTTGGATTATTAGACTACTAGAATTTTTCTCTTGCTAAACACCAATTGGACAATAATAGAAGATCCAGAACCAGACATAATGAAACATCTTCACCTAGAAAAAAAATATAGTGTAGCATGTCTAGCAAATCAGTTGCACTTTACCGTCTAATTTTTTTAACGCAAAGTAAAAGAGAAAGATGACAACTTCCCACTCCCAGCTGGGGACAACTACGAGAGCTATCAAGCAGCCGGCGAATTTCTCCGACGAAGGGCAGGGTTCATGTGTACAAGATCAACGTGTTTCTTTTACTTGCGTGGTTACCTTCATAGATTCATTAAAGATTTTGAGATGGAAGAAGAAAAAAAAAAGATAAACGCCTACGTCATCGGGATTTAAAAATAAGCATCGAAGTTAACAATAAATTTAACACAGGATTTTAATCTTAACTGGGAAACTTGGAACAAAGTGAATTTTTATTTTGGATGAAATACGTAAGAAAAGATAACATATAGTGGTAACATTTAACTTAAGCCTAGTTCTTTATTAATACACCTATACCAGAAAGCTTCAGCATGTCTAACCCAATTTTGGCAGTCCTAAACAGCAACTGATCCGCAAGCTGCAGGAAGGCGAGATATCAAAGTATCTGCTTTATCAAGTGTGTTTCTCTTGATGTTACTCTTTATTTTTGATCAGCATTCTTCGATCAGGTTCAAAAAAGGAGAGTAAGGGGACATGAACAAAGGTTTATACCCTCTCTTATTGGTAACATCAACAACAAACGCAGGGTGGTGAATTCTGCAGTTATCCATTACTATAAAAAATCCTTTTTTGTCGTGCCTATCAAGTGTGTACATTACTCTTTCCATAAATTTGACAATTTGATACGCCGTGGTTCCCTTTTTTTAAAGGCTTTTTCTTTTCAGGATCTTTTGCATTTCTTTTTTTGCTGGCAGGGTTCTCATACTCTTGTTCCAGCTTTTCTGCATCCGTCTTTGTTAAAGGCTCAACTTTTGAAAAGTTGACAGTTTCAAAATACGCAATGCATCCAACAATATTGATATTAGCATCTCTTTGTTTGTGAACAGTTACATTTGCTGGTTCTCCCGCTTTAGACCAAGCTCGTCCTCTTATCATATGCGTATTAAAGCCTGCCTCATTTACAAATTATAAACCATTCGCGTATCTGGCTTTGTTATAAAAATATATTAAAAAAGCATTTAGAGAAAGAGTATTTGTTTGACAACGAAATTGTACCAACATATTCAGAATGTAATCATGCAGTGAAGTTCTGGAGTCCACTGTTAGAAAAGGCATTCAAAAAATCTAGAATTGTGCCTCACTGGTACGTTGATCCGTTATTTATTATATAAATTGCTCATTTACTATTATACTTTAGGGGTGATACCAAGCTCGATTATTTGACCCCACCCGGTATTCATGTGAAAATGGATTCGCGTCTGAGTGCCATTGAATGCCGTTTCTAATTCAGTCTTTGTTGCCTCAGATGTGGCACTATGCTCTCTGAGCTGCGCTTTTTTATTCGTGGTTTTAAATTAATAACAATAAAATACAAAGTTTTCATAGCTTTCTAACCGCATTGTTCTATTCTTTCTTGACTTGTGGGCTGCTTTCGATGCTAGACGGGCCTTCGACGTCAAGGGGCAATACCGCATATTTCGCCTCCATTTCGCCAACTGTATGAGCCGTGAGCACTGTATCAACGCCATCTACTCAGATCTATAAAGCATAGTACCCCCACTTTCAAATCTTTACAGGTCATTTCATCACTTTGTATACTCTCAGTTAACGAATAGGATAACCTTTCGATCCGTTTTGCATTGCCGAAAACACATAAAAAGTTTAAAAATAGCAAGGGTGAATGATATTAAAATAAAGAGAATCTATTTACTATATCTATGTTTAAATACAAATTGTGTGTATTACTTTTTAGATACACATGTTCTGCCATTACGTTCATGCAATTCATTCTCTAATTGACAAGCATGTCTATATCCACCTTTTTCATCTACCAAATCAGGGTTTGGATGGGTATTTTCCATACTACCTAATGAAGTATAGCTAATATCTAACAGTCAGATCTATTTCTCTATACATATGACTATTCCTAGTTACCCATGATCATAAAGTGAGCAATAAGGAACACCAAGTAAAAGTAGAAAATCCCAAATGTCTTTATAACTCCAGTCAATAATCGGTTGAACACGCATAAATTCTGGCCATCCTTTATCCGTCTTGTCAAAACAAGTTAAATTTTCTAGAAATCACCAAAATTGGCCCATATGATTTAGTTTTGCCTCCCCCTTGAAATCCCCCCTCTTATTTACCCGCATAAGGATCCGTTCTTCTGATGCCTACAAAAATGGCGCATGGCCTCGGTTTAGTTTGATCCAAATACTGCTGAAGTGCTGGCTTCATTGGTCCTGGTATATAAACGCAATCGAGACCATATCGTCTGATGCAAACCTTGACAAAGGCATCCACATGAGGAAACGGGTTTGGATAAGTAACAAAGACAGTTTTGATTGGTATTTGGCTGTGACCTAATCGAGATAGAACTGCTGCTACCAAGTGTAATAGAACAGTGCAGTCTTTTCCTCCATTGAAAGATAATGAAGTAGTTTCTATACTATAAACGTATGTGTGAGCCCTTTTTTTCTCATTGCGAACTAGTGGTATTCCCCATATATATCTACTGTCTCTACCCATAGTTTTTATATGCTCTTTCGATAGTTGTCAGTGCCTCCCTTACGTTATGCCCTAATGTAGTATCTGTCTCGGCAAGTTTATACACAGTATCTTGTATATATTTAAAGTCATATTTCTCTGTTGTCATAAAATGAGGATCAACTTTTTGATGTGTGCAGCCATTATTGAGAGATTCCACAGGCAAATTAGAAATCACCATAATAAATAAATAAAAAAAAAAAAAAAGAATTGACTAAGCAGAAAAGGAAAAAAGACAGAGTTTATATGTGCGTGTGTGCGTGTGCGTGTGTGTGTGTCTGTGCTTTAAAATAATCTCTCTCATTTTTTTTGCAACATGAATCCAATTTGAGTTGTACATAAAAAAAAGAGAGATATGAATAAGACTAGTCAATCAAAAAAGCCAATGTCAAACATACCTTCTTTTCTTTAAAGAACTTATAGTAAAACATCTTAAAGAAGTAAAACTTTGCTCATTGGTCTTTATAAAAAAGTCACCTTATATATGCACTGTTGAGTTTTACAGTCACCGAATAAAATGTGTGATTGTAGAACTGCCACGTTTCAAGCAGTAATAAAATCAGAGCATAATTAATAATTATTTCCTTTCCGCCCTTTTTCCTCTTTTCTCTTTAAAATGAAAAGTGGATATTTACTCTATGCATTATCCGTAGCAGCTTTTGCTATTACGCCTACACTTCAATCATCTTCGGCCAAGGGACCACAGCGCCCTTTACAGGATCCACAGCCTGTCAAGTTTGTTCAAAATGTGCTGTCACCAAACAATGGTGAAGGATATTGTAGTGTAAGTAATATGACCATAGCAAAAATCGAATGTTGATCCATATGTTATCAGCCAAGTGGACAGATCAAGGATACTTGCTGTGATTATAAAAGTATTGAAGGGATTCAAAGTGATGTATTTAGCAAGATTCAAAACTTGGTAAAGACAAAATTCTTTAGATATTACAGAGTAAGTTCATCCATCTTGGCAATCATGACATGTTTTTAACACAACATAGGCTGATCTATGGAAAGATTGTCCCTTTTGGAACGAAGATGCTCTTTGTACCAATCGTGATTGTTCTGTAGCAACTATTGATGAGGTACATATAATATACAGTTTTTATTGTTAATTGTTAATTTATGGATACAGGAGGTATTACCAGTAGAGTGGAGAAAGGCAGCACTGAGCGCAATTCAATTACCAGCAGCAGGCTCGGTAAGGGAAAAAGACTTTATTTACAATGATAGATGTTTATGCAAAAAAAAAAAATAGCTCTCTCCTTTCCAAAAATGTACATATAAAGACCAGGACTTTTGTCTGGTCGATGATAACCTGGACTCCGATAGCGTAGTTTACATTGACCTAACAGAAAACCCTGAGCGATTCACAGGATACGCTGGCGCATCAGCTGCCCGTGTATGGAAGGCGATTTACGAAGAAAACTGCTTCAATATTGTCCACCGCATGACGGAAGGTTGTGAGACCTGTAACAATATCATGAACTTGGGTCAGCCTAGGTTGAAAACAGGAAAGCCTGTGAATCCCTTTGCTCAGGTACCAAAGAATAAGGCTCAATTGAACCAGTTTCTGAATGACCTCGCTGAGGAGTCAGATGGAGGTGAAGATAGTGATGATGAGGTGTGTTTGGAGAAACGTGTGTATTATCGCTTAATATCTGGGTTACACTCTTCCATATCTATTCATATCTGTGATGAATGGTTTAATCGCGAAACAGGTGTTTGGGTAAGGAAAACAAGTTCCCAAAAAGATATCCGTTTGACCTGCCCCCTCTTTTTAGGAACCTAATCTTGATTGCTTTGTCAATCGTATCGGATCTCATCCTGAACGTCTTCAAAATGTGTATTTTACTTATGCCCTTCTCTTGAGAGCCGTTAACAAGATGGGACCCTACCTCGAACACTATCCATTCAAGACAGGAAGTGAAAAGGAAGATGCTATTGTGAGACATCAAGTACAGGACTTGATCAAGAGTACTACCTCGTGTCCACCCACTTTTGATGAGAAATCCATGTTTAATGGTCCTGAAGCTCAAGTAAGTGGATCAGCGAGGTATTGTTTGTCTCTTTTTTTGACTTTTTCTTTATAGATTCTGAAGCAAGAATTCAAAGATCATTTCCGAAATGTTTCTAGAATTATGGATTGTGTTGGTTGCGAAAAATGTAGACTCTGGGGCAAGCTTCAGACTGTAGGTTTAGGCACTGCTTTGAAAGTTCTCTTTTCTTATGAAGACAACACACTGGAGTAAGTTTATTTGTTATGAATGCAGCATAAACTCATTTTTTTTTTACTAGTCCCATCGAGAACCCTGATCTTTTTGAGAGAAGTGAAATCGTAGCACTTTTCAATACGTTTAATAGATTATCTGAAAGTTTACATGCTATTCAAAAGTTTAGAACGATTTACATGAAGCAGATGGCACCCAAGGTAAGCGTTTGTTTGTTACAATTGAATGTTGTATCGCTTACTATAAGTTTATAGGAAATATCTGGTTATAAACGCATTTTAAATCATATTGAACCATTCGTCAAAAAGTCATTAAGCCAACTCAAGTCATGGAATATACCAGTCCCTCGTTACATAGAATCACTTGTTACAGATGCATTCACCAATTGATAATAAATATCTTTAATTGGTTTCCAACAATCGAGGTAGTATATAGTCTATTCTTTCAAGACCTGCCTCTGTGGGCCGTATGCCTCCTCCATCTTTCCATTGTGGTAAAAGTTCATGAGGAATATAGGTGTGTGCTCTATCATCCACTAGTTTCTGTTCATCTATCAAAAAACCTGCTTTCAGAAACATGTTGAGCTGCTCTTTGTTTAGAAACTGACTGTACTATAAGTGCCCCGTGGATTTATATATATATATATATCATCATTACCTCTTCGACAGACTTTCCGCCAGTCAGCTCTCTGAACCTCGATCTAGGTATGCCCATACGTGTACGAAGTCCAAAAACGATCAATTCCTAAAAATGTTAGTATAAATTATACTTGATGTTTCAACTTACCTCAGCCATCGTATCAAAAGGGATTGGGATTATTTTGCGTAGTCTATGTAAAATGATCAACATTTTTTTCTTCTCTCTTGTCGAAAAAGATGAGATATCACGTTACCCTTCTCCATCACTTTCACATAATGCCATATATTTATCTGGATGAAATTCCTATAGAAAGGGCTCAATAACTATTATGTTTTCCCCTCTTTTTACTTTTTCTCTTTAACTTACACCAAATGTTCTCACTCGTTGATTTTCAGACACATCTGTTAGTCTTCCGTGAGCGCCAGGCCCGATACCTATAAAAAGATGTCAGACAAAATATCTCTCGGCAGCGATCAAAAAGCTCTTTTTTACCAAGATAATCGATACCCTGCCAATACGAAAAGTTATGACGACTGATTGCCTTTTGGGTTTTGGCGAAGCTGGATACTTCATAGTGGGAGTAGCCAAATGCTTCACATTGTCTCACCGTTTCCTCATACATGTCGGCTGATAGATCATGATCAGGCATGGCTGGGACCAGTCCTTTCAGGTACTGTTTGTGTAGTCTACATACAATAAGTATACCAGTTCCCCTAAACGACTTGCAACTTACGGTGTGCTCCTTTCCATAGACAGTTGATATAACGATAAATGGTCCCCTGCTATCGTCAAAGCATCCTGTTTCCCCCTTTGTATGAGTCCTAGTTTATTATTTCGAATAGTTTACCTTTAGTTCATTCTTCCACTCTAAAAACAACAAGTGAGTAAAGTATCACAACCCTTTTTCATATAAATACCATCCAACGTTTGGCCCGGGCGTGCAAAGATAAGATCAAATGAAACTCGATCTGATCCAAATATCCGTTTTGCAGCTTCTAGAGCACTCAATGCTTCTTTTGCCGAATGATCCCTTCCAAGCATCTTCAAGTGTTTTTGATTGAATGTCTGTATGCCCAACGATAATCTATTGATGCCTATTTGTTTAAATTGTTCAAGCTTGTCTTTCTCTGCAGACTTTTTTTTATATTAATACAACTCGCTTTCTATACCAAAAAAGTTGGCTTACAGTTGGATTTGCCTATAAGTTACATTAGATATAAACATATATACATAGACAATACATACCTCCAATGTGATTTCAGTCTCTTTGGTTAAACCGATATGTTTATCAAGTGTACTTAAAAGTGAACTCACGACTACGGGCTCAAGTGGGGAACTATTCTTAATCACTTTTTTACAAATATTGATGAGTTATTTACCTGTGCTAAGCCTAATGGAAAAGTGTTTAGACAAGGGACAAACATAGCAAGCACTTCTTACTGGGTGTGCCTCCTCCAAAATAAACCGAATGAATCTTTTTATGCTTGAGTTGAAATCTCGTATTGTTTAAAAAGTAGCCAAGTTCTGTCTTCATGGCTGCCAATAGTCGCTCATGAGGTGGATCGCGAGGATTGACATATTTATTAAAGTTACAATATGTACATTTGCTATAATAATGAGATCAGCTCACACTAGATCTCTTTTTTTTTTTTTTCTCTTCACCTTTCACAAAAAGGCCAATGAATATAAACGGAAAATAGTTTACTGTTTCTCATTAAAATGAATGAAAGAAAAAAGAAAAAGAAATACAAATTATTTATATATGTAAAAGAACGCATATTGTACAAAAAGTCTATAAAACATTACGATATTAAGGCTTATAAAGTAATAACACTTGGATCACCATTCTACATAACAAAGTTAGTAAACAATCGATCCTATATGACACTACTTACAAATGGGTGACGCCATCCACATTGAAATTCATTCTTTTTATAAACTCGGTCCTCACTTGTAGAGGTATTATAGCCAATATGATACATCAATAAAGTTTTGCTTGTCACCAATGAATCAGCACAAGCAGAGCACTCTGGTAAATGACCCAAAAGACATTGCTGAATGATGATATCTGGTGGCATATGTGCGTATTTCAACAACAGCTGAGATGTCAAACGAGCTAACTCTGGTTTAAGAAATAGACCACTGAAAAAAGATGAGCAAAAAAGGAATAGATTGGGTGTCTTTTTTTTTTACCTTCCACCTGTGCCTACAAAAATACCACAATGATTGGGAGCCATCTTTTGTGCTGTATAGATCACTTTTTCAATTTCATGCCACTCGCGAGGTCCACAAACAGGGAAATCGTCTTCCATAAGTGCATAATAGGTGCTTTCGAATCTATCTGTGGCCAAGGTAAGCGCCTTGGAGACATGAAGCCGTTGGTTGAGCTCGTTTCCTTCTTCACGAATCCATTTGAGATACTTTTGACCCTTGACTGTATCTGAGAAATGAGCCTTGGCGACGTCAAATTGAGAGTGATTTGAAAAGTGAGTATAGACGATGGCCTGCATACGGTGATAGGGAGAATGAGCAGGCGGATTCTCTGGCCAGTTGGCCAAGTAAGACTCGAGCGTCCTGGTGAGGTAAGCGGGATCACCACGACGAGGTGCTGTCATGAACACAAAGGTGAACAAATACCTGTCCTGGGATACCGTGTTTAATTCAGCGGGTGTCACCTTCACTTCACGTGTGTAATATGCATTCCAGGCCATGAGAATAGGTACTGTAATAGTCACGACCAATGCACACTTCTTGATGGCCGAGAGAATAAGACGCCAGAGAGGCGTACGTCGGTAATGCTCGAGCGTGATAAACTCGGTCATGTCCTTGACCTTGCCAGAATCTTCACGCTTCTCAAATGCCAGAAAGGCTTGAAGAATTACAGTGATGATGAAGCCAGTGAGAAGACCAGAGAGAGACCACCAGAGGATGTTCTTACTTGTGTAATTGACAAGGGACATCATCAGCTGCAGGGTCACTTTGCGCACGGTCAATTTATGGTTTGATTCTTCATGTCCGTAAATCAGGATATATTTGTCGTTGATGCTGAGAGATTGAACAACGACGAGCGCAAAAAGAAAGGGAGCAAGGCCTACAATGATAACATGAGATTGAGGTTATATATATAAAACAACAAACTTTTACCTTGATTGCATTCATGAATGGCATTACTAAAAAACAAAGAAGGCACTGCCCATCCTGTGGATTTAGTAAACAGGTATCCCAGGGCAATTCTGAGAGCGGACACGGTAGTAAAGAGGGTGATTAACAATTGCACAAATCGACGTGTACCACCAACCATATGAGCCAATGATTCTTCAAATAAACCGATGACCAAGATGTTCCAACCGTATAGGACTATACTGGGTAATGTCCAGTCCACCAGAAAGGGTGACAGGAGCAAGCTTTTGATACTGGATCTGTAAATAACAAACGAGGGTGCAGCGCATGAGAGATGAATGATATTTAAAAAGTTGAGAGTGGATACAAATAAGGCTATCAAAATCATGTATCTTGTCACAATAGGAAGTGGCCACAGACATAATAGTTTTTGCGATTTCCTCTTGTTTCTCTCTTCCTCTGGTCTGATGGATGGATATTTACGTAAAGATGAAAACGAAGGTTGTCTGGCTCTATGATGACGTATATTGTATTTTGAATTTCTTCGTGTGTGTGTTTTAGGGATCAATGGTGGATTCGAAGGTGAAGAAGCTGAGGAAGTCGCGGAATGTTTATTAAATATTCTTGGAGTCTTTAATGGTTTTGTAAAAAAAGAGCTGTGGTATTTGGACTTCTTTTGTTGATCTTGTTTTTGTACGTCAATGGCTATATGACCATTTTCTTTATTTGGATTAGAAGTGATGGATGTCTTGGTATCGTTGTCGGCTGTATGTGTTGCATCATCGTCATCACTGATATTAGTATTAGTTGTATTATCATTATTATTATGAGTGTTGGTATCATTAGAATTAGTGGTTGTAATAATAGTAATAGTCGTGTTGGTAGATGGCGTGTCTATTGATGAATCAAGATGAGATTCGGTGTCTCTTGAAGGAGATGTCACTGGCTGATTCGATCTTGTCACTTCTTGCACAAGTCTAACAGAGCCAAACATTTTAAACAAGGAGTCTCTCATTTCCTAAATATATCAATTTCTGATGTTTCCTAATAATTATAAGCTTAATTTATTTTTATTTCCTGTATGTGTGTCTTTCTACCTTTTTCTCTCTCTTTTTTTTGCTTTCCTTTTCTTTAAAAAGCAAAAAAAAAGAATAAAACGTAAATGAAGAAAAGGGGGCAAAGAAGAAAGAAGAAAAAAAGGGGGGAAGAAGCGAGAGGGAAAAGAAAGGGGAGAGAGATGATATAATCGCAAAAAAAAAAAAAAAGGCTAAGAGAGAGCTTAAAATTAGCTTGTTTTTAATTTTTTATAGAAGCACAGCCAGATACCCAAATAGAGTTAAAAGAAGGCTGGTAAATTTTATAATTTTGTTTCCGATCGACACCATTTTCTAAATTTGGCTCAGTTACCAATTAAAACCGTAGCCATGTCCATGATTTATACACACAACAATGCTCTGTTCTTTTCCTACAGCCACACTTTTAAATAGTCACTTTCTTTTTTTATCTTGGTTTACATCAGTGGCTGAAATTAAATATTCTGTCAAATAGTCATGGCAGCTACATCATTTCAAGCCAAGCAATTCTTATGCATGCTTGTTAAGGATACATGATTTTACTATTTTTTTTTTTAAAAAAAATGCAATGCATACCGATGCATCAAAACCAGTTTGAGATACTTTATGCAATGAGTAACAGGGAAACAAAATATGACAGGTACACTGCTGCAGAATTGTAAGGGATACAAAGGATGATCATTTTATAATAACAAAATGGATAAAACTCAATAAATAACATTTATTTCATCCTTTAGCTAGTCAAGCGACAGCGTACGGCCGCCATTCTCTTCCGTAGACGAATGAAGGGGATCCAGGCCCCTGAGCACTAACAAGACGTGAGCTTACTTTTTTTTTTTTTAATAAAACACTTACAGTGTCCTTTGAGACCTTTATCAAAGTTGTGCCAACAGATTGCAGCGTTAAGACTGGTGAGAATAAGCAAAAACAAAGTCACACCAGCTAAATGAAAAGATGAGTATTAAATGGCGTATGTTGTGTGTGTACACTACCAAAAAAGGTGAGCACTTCATTGACATATCGATACTTTTGTGCCTGAGAAGGATCATAGATACGACAAATCTTGAATATAAAGTAAGCAACACCAGCAGCCAGTCCGATGAAGAAGAGAGTCATCAGTTGCCTTGACTCGTGACGGACCTACGAAAGTCTGTTGACAAGACAATCAACAAAACAAGGTATCAAAGACTTACGGCATACACGGCTAATACAAGAGCTAGACAGGTCCCTGGTAAGGCAACAATGGTCAATGGATATTCGGCATCGCCTCGCTGAAGGACAAGGACAAGGAATTGAATGGAGAAGCCCAAGAAAAAGAAGATGTCGAGCTTTAGAATGGTCAAGAAGATCTGGTACCATCGATACATGTCTAATATAAAAATGCTAAGCCCGTTTCTATTGTTTCCTTTCTTGTGTCAATACTTACTTCTAATATCCGGATCTGCGCCGATTTTCTTGTATATTCTCCATCTATCATCATTATTATTATTTTTACTCCCTTAAACAAAGATAAAACTCACCCAAACTCGAGATAGAGACGAGCACCGAGATAAAAATAGGCAAGTTGACAGACACCAATGACAACAGGTGCAGCAAAGATGATCTTTTGTAGATTGGTGACTTTTTCTAATTGAGTAGGAAAGACATATTTTAGGGCTTCGGCTATTTGCTTAAATTGAAATACGGCATAAGCAAAACAACAAAGGTTAAATAAAATAAAGGCAATGATTTGGATCATGTTTTTGTTGCGGACCTAAAGAATAGATTAAAAAAAAAGGAGACACTCTAAATAATATGCCTTACTGCATCCCAAGCTAAGCCAACTTGAAAGACAAGTGAAAAGATGAATATGCTTAGATAAACGGGTATTCCTTTTTGTAAGCCCACATCACTCGATTGTTCTGCAAGACTATATAGATCTATAAGTGAACTATGTCTATCTACTGTTGCATATATATATATATAACCTCTGATTGAATCGAGACAACAAGACTGATTCAAGTACAATAACGATCGTTGCCTCTAAAATGGTAAGCAAGACGAGGTATATTGAATTTTTGTTTGCTGAAAATGAACATGTCTGAAGATAGAGTGTTAAAAGGGCAATCAAATTGGTTTTTTTGTTATTGCAGTACTATCTATTTCATATACATTAAAGGTCGCATCCGGTGTTGATTCTTTATTATTTGGATGTTCATTTTCTCTCTCTTCGTCACTTAGAAAGCTATGTGAAGAGTTAAAGTAGTTTGGCATAAAAGGCAATAAAGAAAAAGAAAGAAAAAAAAAAGAGAGAGAAACACAATTTTTTCGTTATTTAAAACCGCTCATTTGTTACACCTCAAGTTCTTTGTATAATAAAAAAAGAGGAGACATGTAATTCTCTCCCTCCATTATTCTTACTACTAAACGGGCGGTTATTTTCCTTACAGGTACGTTTCCTTTTTATGAATTTGAAGATTAAACTTTGCTTTAACGCATCTTTATTGATAGTAAGACGGTAATCATTATCTTCACCAACAAAAAATAGGAAATGAAGGGAGAGATATTTATAGGAAGTAAAGGGTTAGAGCTATTTTTACTTTTCTAAATCAGGAAAACTGTGCCTATTGAATCCGGATCTACGACACTGTTACTGCTGAATATATTTTTATCAGCTGTGAAAAGCAGCTGACAATAGACAGTGTTTTCTTTTATCTATAGAGACACACATTTTTCTTCAATTCTTGATGCCTGTGATTTGAAACACCAGCACAGTGCCTTCAGATGCAGTATATAGATCATCTTTCACTTTGCAGCTCCTAAACCGTCCAAAAGTTGATGTTGGGATAAGCTATCTTGAAATTATTTCTCACTTTTCTCCTAAACCTATGTTGCTACTGACTTGTGTTACAAAAATACTCAAGCATAACTGAAAGAGAATCAAACCCGTTGATTTACTTTACATGAAATTAACAAAAGGGCAAAACCGCTTCATACTATGTGATCGGAGCAAAATTCGAACTGATCTTTCAATATTAGAATCAAAACTTACGAGGCTCTTGTACAAGAATTCAAAGCCGATATAAGACTCATTGTTGACATGAACGACACAGAGCCGGCTTATAAACAACTCGATGAGAAAAGGATTAGATGCCCCTGACAATTTGTTCTATATAACCTAAACATTATAAAAATATCAAACAAAGTGTATGCTTCCGACTAGACACACCTTACAAAAAACAAACGGACCATCGACAGAGACACACTGTTTTCACATGGTATTGGCAGCTTTTTGAAATAGTTGTTGAATGTCATTCCTAACTGAGAGGCATACTTATCTCAATCATAGTTGAGTCCGATCCGACTTCTGTGTCGTATTTCTACGTTTATATCGAAGGATATTGTATACCCTTTGACGTAATATAATCAATATATTTACATAATGCCCTGTATTAAGCCTGCAACATTGATTCATAACATCTGTAGTCTGTCACAGTTGATGACGCGTCATATCTAATATGCAATCAACTTCTTTTTTCTCCATGAATCTCTTTGTTTTCTCTCTTCATAAATGACTACAAGAGGCCCTATTCCATCTTATCGTATTCTTATGTTTCCGACGTAAAGCTACTTATCCACCGATTATCACAATACTGAAAATTAAAGGTGTGGATGTATTACCGCTATGGAACCAGTATAAGACTGAATCACACGATATTTTAATTACTGGAGTAGCTACAGTGGGATCAGATGTTCAAAAAGCTTTGCAAGTACTTTAGTTAGGTTTGTTCCCTTCCTTATTTAGCTAATATTTTAGATCACAAGCACATATAATGTTATTAAAAAAAGATTATTTACTGATTTAGCCAAAGCGTTACACATTTTCATATTACAAAATCTCATTTGAAGCTAAGATCCTATATTCGAATCTCACAAACCACTTCAAGTAGCTTACTTTTGAGGGTTTTAATACCGCTTTCTATGGTTGTTGGTTGTTGGAAATAAGCAAGTTATGAATGATTGCGGTACCCACTCAAGTTGAAATAAGCATGGATCCCAACGTCACCAATCCTTGACCTACCAATTATAATGATTAGTTTATTTCCCTTCACTCCCATTAGATTGTGTGCTTTCCCCCTCCACTACATTATACATTCCTACTTTGTTGAACTAGCCCGGGCAATTTCAGTATAAAAAATACTGCATGCCAGCTGGCTTTAATAAAAGACTGTTTAACCGTATTGCTAGTTGGTCATCAAACATTAACTTGTTTCCTTGGACCAAGTCAATGTTTTCTCTCAACTTTATATATAGTTTAGTGTGGCAAATATTCGATCATACCTCAATATTTATAAAGTCAGATATTGTTACATCCTTTTACATTTTTGTAATGTCCCTTATAATTAGAAGATGTAACCACTGACCGACTCATGAAGATGCCACGGACCTGGAACTGCATATCATCCAAATGATTTTGCCCAAAGATGTTTTATTTATTTTGTCTAGACTAAAATTTGAAAGTCAGGGGAATAACAAAAGAGCAGATATAATCCAATTGAGCTAGTTTCATTCTAATATCAGACGGATAAAATGAAGGGCAAAAGAATGATGAGTAACATGGCTAATTCAATAAAACCATGTAGAGACGTGTGGTTGTCATTCGTGTTTCATGTTGCAGCTGATTCATTTCATTTGGGGCATATAATTGATCAACCCGTGAGTCCAAGAGAATGCCAGCTTTAGAAAAACAAAAATGCAGTGATAGTGTATTCTGATAGAAATGAGAGGATCTCATATAGATGCAGGTGCATATAAGGCCGTCAGTGCATATAAAACTGAGTAATAACATGCTTCTCTATTTGACACACAAGCTAGTTTTTTTTTATTTTTTTAGTAATCTGTACTTATCACGATTATATTCAAGGGCTCCGTCCTGGATGAAAAAAAAAATAAAGAATAAGTAAAGATAACAGTTTAGGTTCTTATCACTGCATAATCTTTTTGTTCCGGGCTCTTGCTGTAGCCATTTTTATTTCTTTATCTTCAAATGTTTTGAAAAATGTTGTTTATTAAAAGCTCTAAGGGCGATATATGAATAGCAATAGCAGAGCCGGTCTTAGCAATGTTACCAAACATGTGGTTACGTTTTCGGTAACATTTCCGAACACAGCCTTGACGGCAGAAGCACCTCCCTCGTGTTAACCTTCTAATGTATAGTAAGGTTCTCTAAAGTTCAGTTGTTGGGGCTCCGATTTGCATGTTATCTGATAATATCATTAGCCTTGGTGGGAAGTAAAGTCTTGGATCTTGTAGACTTGCTACTTCCTGTGTGGTACGTGCCAATAGGTAGTATATTCTCTTGAAAAGTCTTGATACAGATTTAAAGATCCTTTTCATACGGACAAGGCTAGACTTTTTACTCACAGTTGCCTGCTTTGCTAAGATAAACTCCTGTTACAAAGCCAACTTTGTTGATCGACATTAGCGTTGCAGATTGTAGATAGCAAACCGAATGAATTGTTAATGATCTTCTTTAGAGTCTAGACATTCACTGCATATCTTTTATCTTAAGCATACCTCTCTGCCGTATATTGACACCCTCCAATAGATAAAGTAAGGCATGTAAAAGTCCACTCCTTACATGTCAGTTATAATGCTTCTAGTGCGTGTAGTTAATAGACTCCGAAGTATTTGTCACCATTTATGCGTACATGGATCAAAAGAGAATTCTGACTAAAAGCACTAAATAGCTTTGTAATGTACTCCAATCAACATACATCTTACTTTTCTATTACCCTTTAACTTTATTTTTTTTTCCTATATTCTTAATTAGAGGCACTTTTTAATCTCAGATCCAATTGGTTTTTTATCAATTACCGAATGCTGTACTTCTTTTCAACATTGTAGACAACCCAGGCTTGGCTAATAAAAGAATAGCATTATTCTCTTGTATCGAATTCTATAAACAAATAAACAATAAAGAGAAAAGCCACATGATGGTCGGGATATTTACCTAAAAGTCAATCATTTTGACCGGTGACAGCTTTTGTCAAAAAAAAGAAGGAGGGAGTCAATAATGCAGAAACGGACTGGGAACACAACATAAACAACAACAAACACACAACACAAAAAAAAAGGAGAGAGGGAATTAGAGACAAAGAGCTATGCTTCTGAGATTCTAAACTGGCCATTGAATATGATTGGTTGTAGACTATTCACAAACAAAAGAAAAAGAGGGAGATGTAGATCAAATGGGAAATAGAGGTCAGCAGTTAAGAAAGAGACCACATTTGTTTTATGAAACTTTATTCTCAACAAATATATAAATAGGTCCATCGTTTCTATAGTTTCTCTTTTCTTTTCTTTTTTAAATTTAAAGTCTTCATTTATATTCTCTTTTTAATATAAAAAAGTGTAATCATTTCTAATTCAATTCAAAAAAAAAGGGAAATGAAGCTTGATACGGGCCAACCGCCGCCGCCGTCGTCATCACCCATACCAGCATCGCCACATAAAGGCTGTAACTCAACTACTTGTTGCTCACCAGCAAGACTCTGGCGTACACTTCAAAACTTGATCAAGCAAAATGACCGGAAGGAGCTTTTGGCATTCTTCAAAGATCCTCGTCTTGAACACATCGTACGTGTTGCCCTCACTTCTCGTGTTTCGAATGATGGCTCATTATTACCTGCTTCTCAACGACATACGCTGGTCAGATTTGCAAACCCTCAATTGGCTGCCGAGGCATTTCCTTTGCTTGGTAAACGCTTGACGGATCTGAATGCATTACAGCTCGCTCTCTTGGAAAGTTCCGAATCGACTGTGATGGCATTACTGACGCAGCTCAAACTCCATGCGTCTACAGAAGAGATGAAATCATTTGTTCAACATGTCTGGGGTCAAGGTAATACCTCTCTTCACTTGGCTGTCTTTCTGAACAGACCTCGTGTGGTCAAGGCTCTGCTTGACTTGGGTGCATCTGTGGATTGTTTGAATGCAAAACAAAAAAGTGTGATTGACTGCTGTCATGACCAAAGCATGCTTGACATCCTGTTACCACCCCAAAAGAAGAAAGTTATCCAACATGAATTACCTAATATGGAACCCATGGTTGTCAAGGATGAGCCAGTGGTTGCCAAGGATGAGCCAATGGTAGAACCTATGGTTATCATCGAAGAAAGAGTTCAAAACACGAGCAGCTATAATAATAACAATAACAACAAGGAATCAGCCATATTAGCACTTGACCCATATTTGCTACTCTTGAAACATCATGTGCAACAACAACAACAACTCAATACGTCAACAGCAGCAATGCATTACTCTTGTGCACAAACAGTGATCAGTCGGTTTGTGAAGCAATCAGTCTACTTGTCTCAAGAAAAGAAGCCTCCTGACATACTCTTGGTTTCAGCTTAACTTCATGTTTGTGTGAACTTTCTATACTCTGACTCTTTCTTATGTACATCTCTTTTCTAAAAAACTCTTTTTGTGTGTGATATATTTTACATATGCCCTATTACATATATATGTTCACTCTTTTTTATTTCCTTCTGTAGACAAAAAAGAACCCTCATCTCCTACCTTTCATTTTTCTCAAAATAATGTAGATAAACAAATATTTATGGTACATATAAACCCCCTCTTCTCTCTTTTTCTCCTTTTTTCTAATAAAAGAAACCCAAAATCTGTGTCTTTTTTTTTAAAAAAATAAAAAAATGTATGTTTCTCTCTTTATATATATATTATAAATCTACAATACTAAAACGATAAATTAGATGAAAAAATGAGTATGAGCTTTACTCTGCTCATGCACCTGCATTTCATGCATCTTGTATGCATTTAATTCTTCCTTAATGATTTGAGCCATCAAAGGAGTCAGTTTCATGCAAACAGCATCAGGGTCTGATCCACGATCATAGTCTACTTTTGAAAATGTTTCTTGTATCGACACCAACTTGGTAAATCGAACTGTTTTTTTCTTTGTATTACACTCAACGGGTGCTTGCCTATTCTTTTCCATTGTTTGCTTTTTATACATGCGATGAGACGAAATGGACCACTTTATCTCGAGTGATGTTTCTTTCTTTGGCCATCTTTTAGGTACCACGGAAGAAAATGAACCTGAACGCGTCACGGATGGTTTCTTTTTGCTTTGAAATTTGTTCTTTATCCTTTCTGTCAGAGATACACTTCTCGTCGCTACAGGCTTTACTGAATCCAAAGGCGCGACGGCTGGTTGTCGAAAAGGTGTTTGATACAGTTTTTGAAATGCATTCAACAGACGAGAGCTAGATTGTGGCGACAGTGGCTCCATGGGCTTGACGTAATCTGGAAAAGGGACTGGGGTATATTGAGAAGAAAGAGAAGAAGAAAGGGGCTCCCAAACGTCTTGATTTAACTGTGGGCTATAAACTGTAATTTTACAAGTGGAGTGTGCAGGTTGATCCGTAGTCTGTAATACTCCTGCTTTCAATACTGAGAATCCTATGAAATCATCCTCTTTACTACCATCATCTGTCGCAATAGACTCCTCCTCTGATTCCTCTGCTGAATATAATGAAGGTGTCATTGAACATCTTTTATACTACAAATTATTAGTTTAGGAAACAGATAAAGGTTTCAATGATGTACCTCTTGATCTTTTTTTTCTGGGGCATAATATGGTATTGGGTATGTTTCCATAGAAGATGTCCGAAAGATAACAGGCAACATGTTTTGAAAGGAGAGGAAAAGAAGAAGAAAAAAGAGTATTTATATAAGACACTCTTTTTTATTTTATTTTTTTTCCTTGGATTTGTTTTAAATAAAGGAATAGAAAAGGATCAAATCAGGAAATAAAGTGTGGATAGTAAACTAGGAGACTAATAAAGTTATCTTATTAAAATTATATATAAAAAAAAGGAGGGGGGAGGTTATTTCATGCTTTATCCTTTTTGTTTACCCAAATCCCCCTCCCCTTCTTTTCTTTTTATTTATTCAAAGGAGGAAAGGGTCCTCAGACTGAGGTTTCTGGCCACTCACAGCTTTTGATGATTGCTTCTACAATGGCTTCCAAACCCTTCTTATCCTCTTCATCAAATCCCTCAGTTTTTTCACAATCAATATCCAATACTCCTAAGACCCGCTGCATTTACAACATTAACCATCACTGCATCTTTAAATCATGTCATACTCTTACGTTATCTTTGACCAAAGGTACAACAATTTCCGAGTTTGAAGCAGAGTCGCATGCGATATGTCCTGCAAATTGATGGACGTCTTTCACCACTTGCGTTTCTCTTGTCTTGGCTGCAGTTCCACATACTCCTTTACCGAAGGGAATCAAGGTGCAGGCAACCTATTCATCGGTTTGCGCGCGCACACATATATAAGGATCAACATGTATATATATAGATTTATATATATATTTTTACCTTTCCTTGAAATGGACCGAGGATCAACTGTTGATCATTCTTGGGATCGGTAAGATAGAAACCACACCAGTTAATGGGCTTGTTTTGAAAGTGTGAAAGTGACATTAAACCATGATAGATTATACTAGACACATTAGATAAGTTGGTGACCTTTAATAATAAAAACAAGGAGGGGTAAGTATTGACGTAATAAAGACCCTATTAAAGCATACCCAAAATGTCTGTCCTTCACAGATACTCTCAACTTGAGTCAAGAGAATCTCATAAAAATCCTTTTTTGAAGCACTGTTATCTGTAATGGCAGGAATATCCTTCATATTAAAAAAAAAAAGATAACTTTAGCTCCAATCACAATAGTTGCTTGTAATAGGTAGAGAACTTTGGTGGCCCAATCAAAACTCATATCTCATTCAGCACGCAAAGATGGGTAAGCTTTTTACCTTTTCAATATATCCAAGGAGAGAATACAATCAGCTCAAGGTATATGTGAACAAAAGCTAGGTCAGTGATTCATCCCATAACAGGGAGTCTGTATAACAAAGTATTCCTTATCAAAAAGGAGCGACTGGTTGACTGTTACTGTGCAAGATGTGTTAACCCTTTTGAGTATTAATGCGCTGATCTGTAAAAGACGCCATCTGCTTTGTCTCCTTGGTCGAAATTATGTGTTAAGGTCAGCATAGAGTTCATCCGGACCCTTTTATAGTATGTCCACGTGAACCTGTAGTGCTTCCTCCTCTTTCATTCTCCCCCTCCCCTTGAATAGCTTTTCTTTGTCCCAAAAACAATGCGCAAGTCAATGGGAACCCACTCCTTTATTGATATTGTTTCTTTATCATGACGGAATACCTAAACTAGGCAATACTATTTTGCATTATGAATAGATTGCTTTTTATCAAGTATAAGCAATTGCTCCAAGAAATGCACTGTAACGGGAACTAGAAGGGCATGGCACCTTTGAAATCGTCAAGTGTTTATAGGCATTTGTAGCTAGTATACCCAAAAGTAATTAAAAGCAATTGTTATGATAAGGGAATAGTATTTTCTTTTTAACGTGCTTGTTTGAAGGGCATTAACTGAAATGTGTAGCTTAAATTCGTCAATCCAAACTACCATCGCGCTGCTTACTGATCATAAAGTGTGAATAACTCAGATTGGTCAGAACACATGCACAGCTCGTATGCATCCGTCCGTTGGCGTCATCTCAAAAAGGGTATTGAATATCATGACAGAACACGCATATTTTCATTGTCAATGCAACTCAACTTGCTTAACTTCGGTTTTGATCTCTTTGGACAATTCATGCAACAAACGTCGCGTCTATCAATTGAACCTTTTTTCTTTTTACATGATGTATTAACGTGAGCAGTGGGTCTGGATCACTTCCTAATATTGCTGATATTTTATTACAGTTCATCATGTAACCTAAAATTAGGAGTAATATATAATTAATTGTAGCAAAACGCTGCTGTTGATACTCAAAAAGCTGTTTTTGTATTTGAAATATAAGATACACAAACTATGCTGTTCAAAAAGTGAAGTAAAAAAAAACTGTAAATATGGATACGACTATTGACCAATCCCCACGTCTACAAATGTGTTACTGAAGAGTGGCTCTTGAGTCCCTTGCCAAAGAATTCAGGAAAACGTCAAGATTTTAGAAAAATAATATGCTAGTCATATACCTTTTGACGTCCCATTATCTTTTGTTACCCACGCTTTTTTTTTAACGTATTACCCCAACTTTTCATTGACGGCTTGTCACACCCAATGTCAGTGCATCAAGCGCTTCCTTTCTTCCTTTCACAAAAAGAAGTTCTTGTTGGAAAACTCTTTTAAAGGCTTTGATGTAACTGTATAGTAAAAAAGAAGAAAAGACATGACCCTGGTGCACTTTTTTTTTATGAAGCATAGCCTTAATGACTTCCCAAACGATAAAATATAAAATGTCCGCCCAGATTAGGTTAATACTTTAGGAGGTTAATGCAAAAAAAAAAAAAAAAAAAAAAAAAAAAACTCTCTTCCGGACGCAAGGGTAAAAGAAAAAAAATGTCTCAGTTAAAAATAAGTATTGGTGCTTCTAAAGATGTTGTGAATGCTTGGGACATTCTCTCTAGGCTTATCACTAGATAACCATGATATATGGCATTGACCGCATATAAATAGCAGCCATAGATTCTCTCCCCCTATAAAACACACGCTCTTTTTCATAAAGAATATAATTCGTATATTGTCGACTTGTTTGCCTTTTTACAATAATAAAGCTGAACACAACAGTGTTTGTTGATTTTTGATCTTAACGATCACCACTGGATTGATCCCTTTTCAGAAGAAGAACTACAAGAAATACAAAAGCTCGCAATATCCCAATCATGTTGAATTTCCAGTTAATATGGCAAGTTTCCTGGACGAAAATCCAAAGACCACAAATATCGAGGACATTTTCCTATATTTGAATAACCAAATAATCGATCCGTATGAAAACAAAGATGTATATTGGTTGAAAAACATGTTATTAGATATTTCATTTTCATTTTCTTATTAAAAAAAAAGGTAGCTTGGGTTATAAGCTGGTTTCTATCAACTGGGAAAACTAAAGCCATTCATGTATCTTAGTAAAGGTAAACCTTCCACTTCAACACAGAGGTAATGGTATCGTTAACCACGTCTTCAGAGTACAACCACGTAGAAACATTACGTGTATAATATAAATTGACGCCTTACCCAGTAGAGGTAAGCGATTCTGATCTATGACAGAGATAATGTCGTGATGACTCGTGAAGAAGTTGATAGCTTTTCTGCCTATGCCGGCAATCAATTTATATCAGCCTAAGCATTATCAATATAGAAAGCAAACACTTGATGCACTCAAAAATAAGCCAATACTACGAGCGCTTCCTAACCTAAGGCTGTCTAGTGGGATATCCATTAATATAAATACAAGTGATTGATCTTGGTTCTTTGTTGATCAAAACTGACAACATAAAATTAAAAAAAAGACTTCTTTTTATCTTTCTTATTTTTATATTACTGAGAATAAAGCGTAGCTAGAAAGCTTATAACTATATTGGAGGTCGGAGTGGAGGCAACGGCAATTGTGGTAGGCACGACCCACAATCACTGTATGAACTAAAAAGTCAGATAAGGGTAACATGTGCCTCGAGGTATAATGAAGGCAGTCATGCGTTGACTTTTTATACCTTTCAAAAAGATTCTCACGGTGTCTTTGCCAATCAATACGAACGGATATACGTTATGGATGATTTCGGTATCCTTTATTCTTCTCTTTCCTTGAACCCTTCGTTGAACTTTTATTTGAAAATGAACATGTCTTGATCGAAGGGGGTACACTGTCTAGTTGTACTTTGCAAAACCCTTGTGTAATAAACAGAGAGATAAGATAAAAAAAAAGCGAAAGGATTAGGGGTGATTTCATGCTATTCAGGTGGGAAGATAAACTTCCCATTTGAGGAAATCAAAGTATAAATACAGCGGTTTAGTTTATTCATTACTTAATTGCTTACCTTTCTTCTTCGTTTTTCTTGGCTTTGACAACAAAAAGAAATGCTCTTATCTACAGATTCAAACTTATATGGTGTCTCTATCTTGGCATCGACTACAGATGAACAAAACAGGATCCTTTCACCTGAAGCACTCCAATTCATTAGCACCTTGCACCGTGAATTTAACCCGACTCGCAAGCTTTTGCTTCAGAGAAGAGTCATGCGTCAGAAAGAAATTGATCAAGGCAAACTTCCAGACTTTTTACCAGAGACAGAGCACGTTCGAAATGACCCAAACTGGCGCGCTGCATCTCCTGGACCAGGTCTTGAGGATCGTCGTATAGAAATCACAGGGCCTGTGGACCGAAAGATGATCATTAATGCACTAAATTCAGACGCAAAGACATTTATGGCAGATTTCGAAGGTAAGTTCGTTTTGTTTGGTGTATATATGTATCGATACTTAGTATTCAGATTCAAATTCTCCTACCTGGGAAAATTGTATAAACGGGCAGATAAACCTTTATGACGCAGTTAGACGTACCATCGCCTTTACGAACCCCGCAGGAAAACAGTATAAGCTCAAGGACCGTACTGCAGTACTTCTTGTTAGGTAAAAAAAAAAAAGACATAATCTTTCTCAAAACTCACATTATGTAGGCCACGAGGTTGGCACATGGAAGAAAAGCATGTCTTAGTAGACGGTGAGCCTATCTCTGCATCTATTTTTGATTTTGGTCTCTTCTTCTTTCATAATGCAAAGGAACAAATCAAGCGAGGTCATGGCCCCTACTTTTATTTGCCCAAGATGGAATCTCATCTGGAAGCTAGGTATGCAAAGCTATCGTTCTATTATATATCAAGACGCTAACTTTTAGATCTTAGACTGTGGAATGACATATTTAATATGGCACAAGATATGCTTTCTATCCCAAGAGGAACCATTCGCGCTACTGTTTTAATCGAGACGATTCTGGCAGCTTTTGAAATGGAAGAAATTATCTATGAACTTCGTGAGCACTCCTCTGGCTTAAATTGTGGTCGATGGGACTATATTTTCTCATTTATCAAGACATTTCGTCATCACCCTGAATTTGTTCTTCCGGATCGTTTTGAAGTTTCCATGACAGTCCCCTTTATGAATGCTTACGTACGCCTGCTAATCCAAACCTGTCACAGACGCGGTGTTCATGCGATGGGAGGCATGGCCGCTCAGATACCTATCAAGGATGATCCAGAGGCACATGAAATAGCTATGCAAAAGGTACGTACGGATAAACTGCGAGAAGTCAAGGCTGGGCATGATGGCACCTGGGTTGCGCATCCTGGCCTTATCCCTATTGCTCTTGAGGTGTTTAATGAACATATGCCTGGACCCCATCAAATTGATGTTCGTCGACAACCGGAAAGAATCACACAAAAGGACTTGTTGAATGTCTCCTTCGAGGGCCGCATTACCGAAAAGGGTTTACGCGATAATATTCAGGTTGGACTTGATTATATGGAGTCATGGCTCAGAGGGGTAGGCTGTGTGCCTATACATCATTTGATGGAAGATGCTGCAACAGCAGAAATATCACGTTCTCAGCTATGGCAGTGGGCAAGGCATAAGTGCAAGACGGCAGAAGGACATCAAATCACCGGGGAGTATTGTCTTAAAATACTTGATGAAGAAGTGCAAGCAATCAGACAGAGGCTGGGTCCCAAGTACTCTTCAACAAAGTATGAACTCGCCAAGATGGCATTCGCTACAAATATAACAGGTGACCAATATGACGATTTCTTGACAACATTGCTGTATGATCATATTCTTTCCATATAAAAGAGTTCTAGACTGTAAACAGTGACTATATTGCAATAAACTATCGGCACTCGTCCAGGCCAATCAGTAAATTAGGTTGACTACTTGTTCTATCTCCGACCAGTATATAATTGATCTGCAATATTAGGCCTTTTCCGCTTTTCTTCTTGTTGCTTATCTTTTTTGCCGAAAAACAAAAAAGAAAAAAGGCATTTTATATATATATATATAATTATACACTCTTTTTAAAAAAAATGGCATTACCGAAGGCTGCCAACCACTTGATTGTGGTTTATATAGTATGTTCAGTTCTATACACTTCAATATACCTATTGGGATTTAGAGGTGGCTCATCCGAAAAAGATCTCGTGGTACAAAATGGAGTAGCTAGTCTGCAGCAACGATACATGGGGAATCACATTGTCAACTGGACAAATAGCGAAGGTAAATAACACATATTGTAACTGTCTCTTTTAAAATGACAAGATGAAAACAGGAGAATCTACATCAGAGGACATTGTATTAAGCAAAGTCTTTGCCGAAGCGATGGGCCCTTCAAAAGTGATACCATATTATTTTAAAGCAACTGAAAAATTTGATAATGAGGAAATTACTATGGCAACCTTAGTGACCTACAATCGTTTCAAGGTACTCAGTCGACTTGCATCACATTACAAAGGCCCTATTTCTGTTGCCATTCACGTCAACGATGACCATACAAAAGAAAAAATTATTGAAGACCTTCACCAACTTTTTGCCGATAACCCAGATATGGGTCGTTATGTTGATTTGCATCTTGTCATTGATAACTTTGACCGTCAGTTCAACATGTGGAGAAATGTTGCCAAGTTTTTTGCTCGAACTGATTACATCATGATGCTTGACGTTGACTTTTACCTCTGTACGGATTTTAGAAAGTCACTTGCAAAACAACCAGAGCTTATGGAGTTGCTAAGGGCTGGAAAGGCTGCTATCGTCGTTCCTGCCTTCGAATACATTGAAGAGGCTGACGGTGAAGACTGGAACAAGTTTCCAACCAATAAACAGGATCTTCTGAAGGAAGTTCAAACGAAAAAATTGGACATGTTCCATCTAAGCTGGAAGCGTGGTCATGGGTCAACAAATTACGAAAAATGGTACAAGCAAACAAAACCTTATAAAGTAACAGAGTATAACTACTCGTACGAACCTTATGTCATCTTCAAGAAAGAAGGCACACCTTGGTGTGATGAGAGATTTGTCGGATATGGTGCTAATAAGGCTGCATGCCTGTTTGAAATCTTTTTGGCTGGTATTGACTATTGGGTGCTTCCTGACGATTTCTTGATTCATCAAACTCATCATTACCCAGAAGACACGAGAGCTAAAGAGGTATGTTTTTATATATATGTTGTGGAGCCAAGCTAATTTTTTTTATCTATAGCGTACATACAACAAAAAGCTATATGATTATTATAGAGAAGAAACCTGTCTTCGATATGCTCGTACCATGATTGCTGCAGAACAATGGGACACGTCAAAATCTGCCAATTTGAAAAAGGAATGTGGAAGAATCCGTGGGTTCAATGATGTTATTGAAAGAATTGTTGAAGAACATAATGAATTATAGACACTTTTCTGTCATTTTGCGTGAAGCAGTTAATGATCAAACAGTCATCCTATTTCTTCATCCGAAATAAAGCAAAAAAAAAAAAAAGCTTGAACGTTAGCTATCGATCCTTATCATCCTTTGCAACTTTAAATGGATAAAACAGAACGAAGTTTTTCTAGGGCGTGGCAGAAGATAGTATTTTTAATAGACTCTTTATGAAGAGTAACATTTCAGTTGATTTGTATTTACCTATTCAATGTATCCACTATTACAAGTAACCCTCTCTATAAAGATGTTTGACGTATATCTCGTTTGCTTGTGTATATGTTAGAGTGCAAGATACATAGAGACAGTCTGTTCATTTTATCTTACCCCATCTATCATTGCCCAAAAAAGCACTTACAGCCCGTTTATGTGCTGTTAAATGACTTTAAAAAAATAGTATAGCCACTTGTAAGAATAAGGCTTTCTTTTTTGTTTTGCTTTCTTTAATAAACAGAATGAATAAAGTTTACTTTTTGTTTGTTTATTTACTGTAATTAATGTTGTCGAGTATCATGTTGACATCTTTGTAGCTTGAACTTCTTCTCTGTCAAGAAAACATAGGTGTATATTTCAAATATATGCTATTGTGGTTATTGCTTATGGAGTAATTTGATTTTGTTTTTATCTTCGTAATAAGCTCGATATTATTTTATTGGGGAAGAATTTCTTTTTTATCTTTCCGTGTTTTTTAGCTATGTCGAATGTCACGACTTCCAAGAAAGGGCTTTGCCACTGGTCACACAGAGAAAAACAATGACATCTAAAAAAAGGTTCATGTTGCTACGCCCTTTATGTTATGATGCCAACCTGTGACATACATCGATCACCATCCATCACCTTACGCCCTCCCATGGTGCGGTTTTATCCCATTGGGCGTCTGTTTGTTTTCCTGATTTTTCCCCTCCACACGTCAATGATAAATCTGTCTGCATAAAAGATAATTGAAAGTGATACGCAAGATCAAATAAAATAAATAACATTGTATCATTTGAGTTGATATCAAATATAACCTTGCATTAACCGATAAGTCCCTTTGACCTTATTATAGACGTCTTGACCGAAAACAGCCTCAGGGTATTTCACGCCACTTGTCTTTTTGTTTCAATAAAGTGTGTGTATATATGTGTGCTACCAACAAATATGCAATACAATGGTATAAAAGGAAACTTTTTGCGCTCTTTCTTTTTTATCTTTTCTTCTCACTTTCTCCAAGCAATCTATTTAAAAAAAGTAAAAAAAAAATAAAATAAAAAGAGATCGAAAAGACATAATATTAACCCTACTTTTATAGTATGAATCGTTCTACAGAAATGATGAATCAAATCGCCTCTGTCAAATTGGTACTATTAGGTAACAAAGCCCCTTTATTTTTATAGCGCTGAAATCGTGACAACATCCATAGGTGACTCAGCTGTTGGGAAATCAAGCATTATCACAAAATACGCTACAGATACATTTGTAGAAGGGAGGGAGGCAACCATTGGAGGTAAGACCTCTCGCTTTTGACTGCTTTTATATAACACCTGTGTGTAGCCGCCTTTTTAGCAAAGATATGTTCAACAGAGGATAGAACCGTCAAGTTTGATATCTGGGATACCGCAGGACAAGAAAGATTTCGTTCATTAGCACCCATGTACTATCGAAATGCCGCAGCTGCCTTAGTCGTCTTTGATGTGACAAATTATGTAAGTGTGATCATCAGACTACACCACAAGAAAGGGACTGCTGACAAAAAGTTTATTTTAGAATTCGTTTATAGGAGCCAAGAGATGGATCGACGAGTTGCCCTCGGATGTAATGGTTGCTTTGGTCGGAAATAAAATTGATTTGGAAACCCAGAGACAAGTGTCAACTGAAGAAGTGCAAGAGTACATAAAGGAAAATAGTCTGTTATATATAGAAACAAGCGCGTGCTTAGGAACGAATGTGGATCATGTGTTTAAAGAAATAGGTATATTTAATTAAATCGCAGTAGTAATCTGCCCCTTTTTTCTAAGCCCTTGTATATTTATATAGCCAGAAACGTATCTTTAAGAAAACCGTCAAGAGCAAGACAGATTGAACTTGATAAGCAAGCTCAGCGTAGTAGCTGTGCATGTTAAATGTATACCATATAATGTAATATTCCCCCTTTTTTTTGTTATTCTGTAATTAGTACCAATAAATATCCCGGCGCATAAGCATGATGTTTACTACAATTAGAAAATCATTAAAAGGCATGCAGTGTATGCATAAAGACAGTAAAAGAGCAATGACGTAGCAATGTATTTATAATAATCATATTCACATATATTTACAGTTATTCCTTTGATGAGTTAGAAGTGTTCGAGGGTGTACTGCTGCTAGTACTAGCACTTGGCGTTTTATCATCCAGATTTTCAATGCGTCGCAACATGTGCCAAATGAAATCCTTATTTGTCCAATATGAAAAGTGAGCTCTCAACCCGATCAAGTATTCATTAGCAAGCATGGCCATCATGCTTTCTGGCTGCAGCACATAGTCGATCCTTCGTCCTCCCGGTAACTTACTCTTTTCATTTTGCTCTTCCTCTTCTACATCCGTTATCTTGTCATTATCCTTGGCATTTGCATTGGGCACAGTGGAGTCTTGGGCAACATCCGCTTTGGATTCACCAGGCTCAGTGATAGCTGGCCCTGGTTTATGCAATTCTGCATTCAGATCGGACCAGATATCATCTCCGCCACCCTTTGTACTTGCCGTGGACTCTTTATCAGTGGTCTGCTCGTCTGTATGACCTTCCTTCTCTTCATCCTTATCCTCTTCCTCATGAACATGATCAACATAACTCTTCGTTCTTTCCAGACGAGGTAAACCATCAATACCTAATACTTCGACGAGATGATGACAATTGCCCGGAGAGTGTTGATCCGTCATCGTCTTTCTTAGTTGCACTCTCTTTGTCTCTGTGCCTTCGGGTTTCTGATCATCAGTATAGGGTAGACTATACGTCTTTGATCGTGGCTGTATCATTGGCCTTGGTAAATTGCTGCCATTGTTCTGTACTAACAATAACTCGTCAGCTGACGTCAAGGTCCTATCGAGATCTTCACGTAATGCCAACAGCTGCTCTCGCGTATCCAGTTCCTCCCAGCACTTTTCCTCTGGCTTATCTCCCTCCTTTTTTGTGCCCTTTGAAAAGTACTGTAATAGAGAAGAAATGAATCCGTTTGTTGGAGGGATCTGCTCTTGTACATCTCGTTGTTGCACCTCTTGGTCTTTAGCAGCATCTGATGTAGCTTCATACAAGGCTCCAGCTACCTTATCCTCTTGTTTCCATGAAAAGAAGGAAAATAGGGACGCAGAGATGGGAAAAGAAGGGAATGAGAAGGAAGGGCCGATGGGTATGGATCGGTCGATGAGTACTGCAGGCTTATCAGTAAAGTAATCATTAAGTAAAGGCTCAAATCGATAACCCTAGAAAAAGTTAGACATTGAGTTCAATGCATGTTGCAAAACTTTACCAATGGATCAAATGGATGAAAAATATTTTCAAATTGAATATCATGCTCAGGATGATATAATGTCGGATTCTGACCGCGGAATGTGAGGACAGCACCTAGAGGAGAGCCAAGGCCAAAGAAATAATCAGGCTTAAAGTTTAATTTGGAGAATTTGACATCCAACTTGTTATACATGTCTTGCTCTTGTTCAGTCAAGTTGTCTCGCTGATGTGACAGAATATCCCAAGTGATAATTCCTCCCAAGGAGTAACCCAAGATGATGATTTTGCCATTAAAATTGGGATGCTTTTCGATGAAATGTTGATATGAAGTATTAAAGAGATGAGTGACGTTATCAATGATCTTTTGTCCTCGATCTTTTGAAAAGTAGTAGAGGACATCAGCCAAGTATTCATTCTCTATCAATCGGATAGTGGGTATAGACTTTAGGGTGATCTTGTTCATAATGGGGTCTACTTGTTCATGGATATGTCTGTGCCATTCAATAGGTATCAGCTCAATGCGGACATCATGACTGGGTATTTTGTATTGTAGTACTTGTCTCGTTGTCTCTTGTAAGTCCTCAACTATATACATACGTTAGCTTCTTGTACGTCATAGATCACTTTCGATTTTCTTACTGTGTTCATAGAATTGACCGTATTGCTCTGTTTGCTATTTTTGATTTTAAAAAACATATTTTAAATATTTATATAAATTGACTTACTTGTCCAATGCCCTATTGTTGATTTTTAGTTTAGCAGACTATATTGATGATATAACTTACATGAATCACAAAGATGACGTGGTCTACTGGTTTATCAGAATGATGATCTACGTCTATTTGAGAATGACCCTCTTCATCAGCTGACAGATTATCTATACATATATACATAAGCCAAGCTTTTTTTTCCTATAATTGTCTTTTTTTTACCAGCCTGAGTATCGGATAATGGAGGTGAAGGCACAAATGTAGACTCGAAAAACATAAAAGAAAAAGAAAAAGAGAGATAATGAAAAGGAAAAGGAAAATGATGGAATATGTCATTCTGACTTTCAATAGCGAAAACGGGCTGTCTTTGACCCTTAAATCGCATGATGTAATATCTCACTATTACTACCATAGAGTGGTACAATACATGTGACACGCAAAGATAGAGAGACAGAGAGACAAAGAGAAAGAGAGACAGGATAAATTGAGAAAAATCATTTGACCTGGTACCTTTTTCCCCATTTTTTCTCCTCTTTTTTACTTTTTCATTTCTTTGTTATAAAAATGCCAAAGGTAATAATAACAATAAACACTACACAAAAAAAAACAACCAAGACCAACATTCCTATTTTATAGCTTAGTCGTAAAAAGTTGGTTGTAGTGGGTGATGGTTATTGTGGAAAGACGAGCTTATTACACGTATTCCAGCATAATGCATTTCCTGAAGTAAGAGATACTTTGATTTCTGTGTGTGTGATGTTGACTTTTATATATAGGATTATGTACCTACCGTGTTTGAAACTTATATAGCCGTTATTCCACTTGAAAATGGTAAATCGATCGAATTATCATTATGGGATACAGCAGGTCAAGAAGAGTATGATAGACTTCGACCTCTTTGTTATCCTGAAACGGATGTCATCTTGGCTTGTTTTGCCATTGATCAGTTACAGTCATTTGAAAATGTCAAGGATAGAGTAAAGACGTACATAATGAAAAAAAAAGAGAATAGTATTAACTTTACTATAGTGGATTCCTGAAATGGATCATTTTTTATATGGTGTACCCAGATTACTAGTTGGAACAAAAGCGGATTTAAGAAATAATACAGATCGTATTAATGAATTACGTACGGATGGTAGACAGTTGATATCTATTGAACAGG